AGCGCGAGCGCATCGAGCGCAGGGAGGCAATGGTGCTGACGGAGCGTGCCCGTGACCTGTTCGCCTCGCCGTTCTCATTGCGGTTGTCGACCAAGAGATGAGTGTTTTCGTCGTCCTCATTCGCACCACCCTTCGGAGACGTAGGTTCGTCGTCGTGTTCCCTCATACCCGATCGACCAGATCTCCAAGACATGCGGTCGCCACTTGGAGCCATGGTGCCATATCCCACCGCTACGCTGTGTACGCCGTCGCTAGCTTCGCGACCTGCCGATGCTAGCAAGCCCTCGCCAATACCGCCCTCAGGCGCATGAGAATCCTGGGTTATTACACCCTCAGTCGGAGTTGCCTCGGTTGGAGCCTGGGAGTCTTCTGGTATCGTCTTGGGAATGTCAGGAGTCACGGCTGCCTGACCGGGCTTGATCTTGACAGTGTTGATGCGAGTCTGCTTGGGCCTCGTCGCGACATTCGAAGGGCCGAGATGCTTCAGGTGCTGCATGACGGTCGGATCATCGCTGCGAAGAGGTGAACCCGCTCCCTTGCTGCCGCTGCTACGGCGACGAAGGAGGAACGAGGGCTTGGGGTGGCCTTCAGGCATCTCGGGCAGAGAGGTCTTGCGTGGCGCCGGCTTGCCATTCTGCTCCGCGTCTGTTTCGGAGTCGACAGCTTGTGCTTCGGAAGGCTTGCGGGGAACATCGGTGACGACTTTGCCTCGAGGGACGCGGGCGCGAGGGGCGGGGGCCATGCGTCGGATCGCTTTGTGCACGTCGATGAATACGTCGGACTCGTCGATAATTTCCCTGGTCTCATTAGTACAAACTTGGTTGAAGGATCCGGCGACAATGTAGGCGCCAGAATATTTTTCGAGGATGCACAACTTACTCTCCGATCAGTTCTTCGATGACGTCTTCCAGAGTAACGACACCGACGGCACCGCGTGCCTCAGCAGGGAATTCAGAGACTAGCACCATGTGGGACTTGCCCTCCTGGAAGAAGTTGAGAATGTCAAGGCAGCTCGTTTCCGGGCGTGTCTCGGGTAGGGTGGCCAAAGCAAAGTCGCGTACGCGCAGAGCATCCTCGGGGTCGTATGTGATGAGCATCTTGACCAGGAGCATACCCACAAAGTTGTTTTCATTCTCGGGTGTGTGGATGGGAATACGGGAGTAGCCAGCGGAGAGGATGTTGTCCATCATCTTCTCGTCCAGGATAGTATCAGACGACATGGTAAAGACGTCCTTCATGGGCGTCATGATGTTGCCGACAGCCTTGGCCTTGAGGTCCAGCACAGCGGTGATGATGGTGACTTCGTCTTCGTTCAGGCGCTCGTGCTCGAGTCCGAGCGACTGGTGCAGGCTGACGAGTGTCTTCAAGCCACCCTTCTTGTAAACGGTACCGTGGTCTTCTCCGAGGAGGTAATCGAGGAGTTTGGCAGTCGGCCAGGCGACGATGCCCATGATGTACATGAGGCCGAGGACGATGGGTGCCATGATGGCGCCGATTGGCAGGCCATAGCGCACACAGATGGATTGGGGGACGACTTCACCGAAGATGACTGAGGCGTATTAGACGTAAACAGAGTAGGTGAGAGAGAGGGTGCACATACCAATGAGGACCGTGGAGCTGACAACGGCAGGCCATCCTCCGCCGAGGGACCTGTCCAGGACTATAGGAAGGGTTTCGTTGGTAATGACGTTACTCAGGAGTAGCGTTACGAGAACCCAGTGCTTGCCTCGCTCCAGCAGCTTCAGCACCTTGGCCGCGTTCTTGCGCTCGTGCTTCTCGCCGGATGAAGCAAGGACTTGGAGATAGATTTCATCTTGGCCCATCAAGCTGGAGAGTCGCTGTTAGCGCGTTGTGACACGACGGCGGGACTGCGATGTACTCACGCAATGGTCAGACCCGCAAACACACCACCGGCCAAGACAAGCGCGACGGCGATACCCAGGAGAAGCCAGCGCTCTCCATCGTTGTCCGTTGGGACCTCCTCCCCAGCGGTCTTGAAGGTCGCGTCGCCAAACGGCATGGGCAACGCGGTCACCATGGGCGCGAAGGCGTGGAAGAGGCCGATGAAGGCGAGGCGAGCAGTCCGCATCGAGCCATTGGCGGCTGCGCGAGGACGAGGGGCGCTCATGGCCATGGGAAGCACCTCAGTGCGGGAAGATGAAGAGTGTCCGAGTCGGGGAGATGGACTGGCGAGAGAGGTGGACTCCAAGGTTTGTGGTGGGCGCGCAAATAATGATGCGGAAGCAGCGGTTTGGTGGGTCTGCGCACGGTCGGGATCTAGACGCATGATGCAGCTTCCCAAAGGCGACAAAGGCGCGTGCAGTCTTATTGTCAGACCTCAACCCTTTGTATACGCCCGGCGTAATTAACAGCAGTCTGTCACACCCTCAAGCAATGAGATCTGCCTCTGATCACACATGTGTGCGCGTCGTCGGTACAAGGGGCCGGCCACAAAGTTGACTCCGGGCGAGCTTCTTCCCGCTAGCCTGTATTGCTTTCCCCAGGCTCAAGACTAGGCGCCAAGTCCAACACGGTGCCGTCTTCCTACAATCATAGGTCATAGCTGTCTTGGTCACATGCTGCAGTAGATCCCAAAGCGACGACAACCGCAAGCCCTGTGTAACTCAATCGCACAGTGATCGAGGAGAAATTGTCGCAAAACATCGAAGTTTGGATGCGCTAGTCTCCACCTGCCGTGCGAACCATTCTGGCGTCCATCGTCATTATGCAGCGCCTCCGGTCTTGGCAAGTATGAAGTCACGTTACCTCCAGCCACATCACGTGCCCGCACCTTCCTCTCTCGGCGCTTGCCCGCTAAACTCCGCAACGTTTGAAACCTGGAGAGCCGCTGGTAGCCGCCGCATACACCCGCACAACCGTCGGCTCACATGTTTGTGCCCAGCATGACTTTATTGCATGTACCTTCTCTGGGGCTTTGGGGAAATTCGTTGCTCTCATTTCCATAGACATGGCTGCTAGAACACCATCAATCCGCGCATTGTCGCGCTATCTGCTTCGCCCGCAAGCACCACTCCGGCCCCGCTGTCAACACCACCTTCAACGCAAACAATACTCCTCGGCAGCACCTGGCGCACGCCTCAATGGCACAGTAGAGTACGATGCGACGCCCATTCTCCACCACACCGCCAAATCCTCTCTCGCGAACCCCGAGTTCCCTGTAGACATACAAAAGGGTCAGACAAAACGCATAAACCTTTACACCGCCGTCAACGAGGCACTACGATATGCTTTGCAGACGGATGAGCGCGTTATGGTCTTCGGAGAAGATGTGCAGTTTGGTGGTGTCTTCCGGTGCACCATGAACTTGGCTGGGGACTTTGGCACAGAGCGCGTCTTCAACACGCCCTTGAGCGAGCAGGGACTCGTGGGGTTCGCTATAGGAGCAGCTGCGGAGGGTATGAAGCCAGTAGCAGAAGTCCAATTCGCCGATTACGTCTTCCCCGCCTTCGACCAAATACACAATGAGGCGGCCAAGTACAGATATCGGTCAGGGAGCACTGGCGTCAACTGTGGAGGACTAGTCATCCGCATGCCATCAGGCAGTGTCGGACATGGCGCACTGTATGACTCCAGCAGCGCTCCCTCTTGAAATCGACTGACACGTCACTAGATACCACACACAGTCCCCAGAAGCCCTCTTCACCCACACGCCCGGTCTACGCGTCGTAATACCCCGCTCACCCGTGCAGGCCAAAGGCCTCCTCCTCTCCGCGATACGTTGTGAAGACCCCGTCATATTCATGGAGCCCAAGATACTATACCGCGCTGCTGTCGAGCACGTACCCGTTGACGCGTTCTACCTTCCGCTCGACAAGGCTGAAGTCCTCAAGACTGGCAAGGACGTCACGATCGTTTCGTACGGCACACCACTATACACATGTTCAGCGGCGATAGCAGCAGCAGAGAAGGACTTTGGATGCAGCGTTGAGCTGATAGATCTGCGGACGATATACCCCTGGGACCGAGAGACGGTCCTGGAGAGTGTGAAGAAAACTGGAAGGGCGATTGTGGTACATGAGAGTATGATGAATGCTGGTGTGGGGGCTGAGGTCGCTGCTACGATCCAGGAGAAGGCCTTCCTTAGACTAGAGGCGCCTGTCAAGAGGGTGACTGGGTGGGCGACACATACCGGGCTTATGTTCGAGCAGTTTGTCATTCCGGACGTCACGAGTAAGCTGCCATGTATGGATCTATTGGTGCTCTCTTTTGCTAATATTGACAGGGGTTTACGATGCGATCAAAAAGACCATAGACTATTGAATCAATCATCTTCGAGACGATGGCATGCAAGCTACGATAATTGGAACCCTGCTGACAGGCCTCTGCTAACCGAAGCACAACCATAAGTAATCACATTCGCATCGGCACAAGGTAAGCGCATACCAAAAACGACACGCCTCTAATGTACCTAAATACCCCATTGGCTTTTGAAAGATGACACATCCCCAACTTGGTCGAAATTGGAAGTCGCTTCCGTCTGCTCCTTCCTCGCCCGAGTGCAGCGGTAGGCGCCTGCTGTCAGACGTGGCTTGATTTCTTATTCGTTCAGTTATCAATCTGCCTCATGCACCTTCGCTTCAGGCATAGCTGTTGCTCACGAACTCTTAGCCTGAGCCCCGCAGCTTTCTTTCGTCCTGCCTTCCCTCAACCAATGTTCCTCTGACATCTCCAAGACGATACCGGATGGCACCCAGGCTTCAACCAAGGCAACGCCAACTGAAGGTGTAATAACCCAGGCTTCTTATGCGCCTCGCCATCAGTCAAGCCGCCTCGACAGCCTCGCTGACAACATTGTCGTGCTCAGCCTTGCGGCATTTTTGGTCTGCGCAATCGCTCAACTGCATCTTTCTGCCTATAAGTCGAGCCCTCGCGCAGTTTACCGATACCCTAGCTCTCTCTCGTTGCTTTCTTGATCGCTACTATTGTGCCGGTGCACAGGGTGCAACCACTCCACACCCTTACACTATACTATCTTCGTCATGCCACCCACCGTGACTACTTCGACCAGCAGCGGCACGCCAACAGCAATACCAATCATCGCCACGCCTACTCCTTCAGACGGCTTCAATGGCGAAGAGTTCATCAACAACCTCGGCAGCGATTTGGCGCCTCTCTTAACGCTGTTCGGAGAGCAAGTTACGAAACAATTCCTCAGCATGTCGCTTGGCTGGGCCGATCATATACTTCTCGCTGTTGGTCCGCTGGGAATAATCACTACCGTGGTTTCGGCAATTCGCGTCTCAAATGTTAGAGTCTTGAAGGCTGTCATTGGTCGGTAGGTGACGTCCATCCCAGGTTAGTGAAGTTGCTAACAGTGATAGTGCGCGAGAGAAAATCGCGACAGCAGAACTGGAGCTACTCTCATCGACATCATACGCAACGTCGGAACTCTGGACTGATGAAGGGGTCGTGCGTCAAGCGGGCCATGCTAAGATCCTCGAGATAATTGTGTATGAACTAAAGTCTACGCAAAAAGTCTCAAGCCAGGAAGAAATCGAACTTAAAGCTCCTAGTCAGGTTCGCATCGGCAACCTCGGTGAAGCCAACAGGGCAGGAGTTCTCAAACTTGTGGATGAAGGCCGTTCAAAGACGTTCACAGACGTGTTTGGCAGACTGAACTTCAGATCGAGGAAGCAGTCCCAAGTTCTCACTCCGTCCGGAGATTCAGAGTTGCAGGCCGAAATTCAGGCCAGACATATTGCCTGGAAGCTGGCCAGACAGCCACCGAACCTTGCACTCAATGTGCACAAGGCCCTTCCAACTAGCTCCGAACTATGTACATTTGCGATCGTTGGAGCTGCTCTGCAACTTGTTGCTGTAGCGATACCTACCGCGATGACATATTACTGGAGAAAGCCAAAGGGCATGAACTCTGTCCAAGACTACGCATGCCCAACCTTCCTTATAGGAACATGCCTACTCGTCTTGGGTATAGCACTGTGCTCGTACATCATCGAAGCAACGACTGTTGAGCAGAGTTTCATTCCGACAAATGGTTGCGATGTGAAGAATATCTTCTGGTTGCAACTGCGACAGAACATGGGCGATCAGCCCTTCAATGCGTACGTCATCATGAGCCATGCTGGGGATAAGAAAATTCGCACTTCAAGATATGATGCAGAAGAGACAGATCCCGTTTTACCGCAAATAAGACGTCAAAATCAGGAACGAAGACTCATCATTGCGGTTACCCTCTGCTTCACTGGTTTCATTTGCCAATTTGTCGGATTACGAGCGCTTCACTGGTCAGCAACAGTCATACAGCTTAGCATCACGCTACTGATGACTTGCATTCGGGCTTGGATTCGCAGAGGGATCTCGAATCGTCCGATACATTTCCAGCTGGATCCGGACTTCAATTTCATCGCTCTTTCAGTCGGAGATGCTTGCAACAATTCATGGCCCGCCGAGGGTGGGCTCTGGCCGCAGACACATGATGTGATTTTCCATCCGTGGAACTCGCCAGACGGTGCAAACAGTACGCCCAGCGCCGGTCTGATCGATATCGACGATCCCAGGATCGTGCTGCGAGAAATGCTGCAATCGCTGTCGACTGAATTCGGTGGTGGTCTCGATCTCCTCTCAGAGAGTCTCCGTCGCGCCATAAGAGAGGTGTACCACAATGTCGACTCGCAACTTCGACACTCAAAAATCGTGTGGGAGCACGTAGTTGAGAGTATGAGTCCCAACGACAATGAACCACACTGCCAGCGCTTGAAGCTCGAAACACATGGTCAGTCGCTCGATAAGCAAGTGTTGCGTGCTTTACTAGCATTGTGGAGGTATAGTGCACCAGTTCATACAACCGACATATGCGTTGCAAGGGTTTTCTCTGAGAAGGACTGGAAAGAGAAAGTAGAGTTCCTCGAATCCCACATGCGAGTAAAAATATCGGGTCTATTCCTCTCGGTCAAGGGGGGGGTAGCACCGCAATCAGAGGGCATTGCTCATCGTCGGTATTCAGTTGAGGACATTCGGGCATATCATAGATACAAATGTACTGGGCTGAGTCTCGAAAACATGCAAGACCTCGGTACGTCTCATGGGGCCGGTCAGAATCGTTCATGTGGTTACCTTGCCATTCCGGTAGGCAGGCCGGAAGCTCACTTCGCTTTTGAGTTGCTTTCTGGCTTCTTGGATGCGCTCTGGCAGACGATGAAGCTGAAATACAATGCAGAAGCCGAGAAATGGTCTGTGGAGTCTGACGGGCATGATAAAGAGGTTGATGTAGATGAGATCGCGCGCTTGATTCTGCGTACTGGGCTGGTGAATTACAGGAAAGATGCCCAGATTTTGGTCTATTCCTCGCTTGCCCGATGCACAGTATGGAAAGACCCACCAGAAACCGATGAGTCTACCTCCACCGCCCATCAGCATCCCGATCCGCCCCGATCCGCGGGCTTCACTACTCAAGACGAGAGCCCACGAAGAAGTCAATCGAGACCCAGTACCGCTGGAACAGCGCAAGCAGATGAGAATTTGCAAGACGACGCTGCAACCCCAAGCAATCCCGAACACCGAACCACTTCCTCACCAGTCATACCGATATCCAACGTATTCGAACCCACACAAGCAGAAGAGAGCTCTAAAGCTAGCTCTGTGACATCCAGAGTGTCTGCTCATCAGCCAGTTCCTACGCCAAGCACACCATCACCTCGTGTTTCAGAAAACATGCTATCACTGGGTGACAAGGGCAAACACGCGGCAACTTAGAGCATTCCTGAAGATTAGTGTATCTTCACTGCAAGAATTCCGATAGCCAGCAGTACTGCAGCAGCAAAAACTCGGATAGAGGTTCCAAATTCTAGCGCGTATGGCGGGAATTTCTGAGGGTTGGGTAGCCGGACAAACCTCCAGTGGAAGTGTTCATTCTCAATGTATGGTTCCATTACACTCTTTTGCATGGCGCAAGTAGTAGCGTTCAAGTTCCAGCCCGCACAGTAAGAACGGGAATGGCTCTCTGCGCTCCGCATTACTACTGCACATGAATAGCAGATTTGCAACCCGAACCTATATCCACGGCCCATGGCCATGCGCGATCTCCCCAGATCTCGCTTCACTAGCGGCGGGAGTGCCTTGCGCTAGCATCCACCAAGCTGGCTGGATGCAAACGTCATGACTTTGAACGCCGCGAGATCGTCGCGTGGACGTCACAGCTGTCATAGCTCCAGATTTCTTTTGCTAGAGCTTGGGTGAACCGCACATTCCAGCCCTAGTCATTTCAAACCTCATTCTTGCACACCCACGAACTCAATTCATACATCCCCCTCATACAGACCTCACTTCATACACAATGGCGAGCAGGACATTCACACCAATGCTCCGCAATGCGGTTCGTGTCTCGCAGCGAAATGCCATGGCGGCACCATGCCGTCGCTTCTTGAACACCGAGACGGCGCCGTCGCTTTACTCAGCAAAGGCGCACGTTGTTGGTGCACGCACAGGGTATGATTAAAGATGTCATTGGACGCCTACGTACCTGTGCTAATACGCCCTCAGCCATGTAGACGGCGAGAATCTAAAGGTCGACCTAACAATGGCCAAAGCCCTCGGCGGCCCCGGCGACGCCGGAAAGACCAACCCCGAAGAACTCTTCGCAGCCGGCTACGGTGCATGCTGTACGTCTTAATTCCCCTCTATAACCCATCTCCATAGCTCCAACTAACCCCACGTAGTCCAATCCGCCATGAACGCCGTCGCCCCCTCCCTCGGCGTCAAGATGCCCTCCACCCCTGAAGACTCGATCGTCGAATCCACCGTCGAACTCGTCGGCAGTATGAAAGACCTCGACATGGGACTGCGCGTCCAGCTGCTCGTCAAGGTGCGTGGGCTGGCGAAGGAGGATCTGGAGAAGGTTGTGTACAAGGCGAGGCAGGTGTGCCCGTATAGTCGGGCGACGAAGGATAATGTTTATACGACTGTTAGGTGTGAGACTATGTAAAGAGGTCGTGATTTTGAATGACGGCGTGGAAGGGGATGTAGATGATGTAAAGAATTAACGAATGAGTTATGATTTCAAAGACGCGTTTCCTGAGAGCTTTCAACGATAGCAGCTAACACCCCCTCAGCGACATCTTCCCCATCCTCCGCTTCCGTAACCCAAGTCACGCGTCCACTACGTGGACTGCGTACCTCTAGTTCCATCTTCATTTGCTGGACCACGCATATCACGTCTCCTTCTTTCACCACATCGCCCTCGTCAACTAACACTTCTACCAGCTTTCCCGGGAATGGGATACTGATGTGCGAAGGATCACTCGGGTTCCCTCGCCTGTGGTGCGACGTTGCGGCCGATGCACTGGCGGAAGTTGAAGAGAGGGTTATGGTGTAGGGTGTTGTTTGGGGCGTGGTAGATGAAGCTGTTGAGGGCGTGGTGAAAAGGAGTTCTGCGCTGAGGGAGGTGGGGAAGTCGTTTCGGAGAACACGGGTTAGTTCGAGGTGATGGGGTGGTGATTTCTCGTTAGCTTTGGTGGTAGGAGAAGAGATGGAAATGGACCAGGCGTCGCCTTTTCGGAATAGGGTGTTGGCTGTTGAGACTGAGGCTGTCGAGGAGGATAGCGAGATGTCTGAGTTTAAAGTGTTCGGGCTGGCTGGAGCGATATTTTGGCTTGATCGGAGGAGCTCGGTTTGTTTGCTTTCTAGCCATTGCGTGTCGCATTTTCCGTGCACGAAATCTGGATGCGCGGCTATGGCTTTTAACATGTCGAGGTTCGTCTTTATTCCTGCGATCTGCGTATCATCCAACGCTCGTTGTACTTTTCGAACGGTGTCCTTCCACGATGACGCCGTTACAACGACCTTTGCGATCAGACTGTCGAAATCTGCAGATACTACGGCGGGTCGACCGCTGGTGAGATGCGTGTCAACCCGAATGCCGTTTCCGGAAGGGAACTGAGAAGAGGTGATCTTGCCAATCGATAATGACCAATCAGTCTGAACATTCTCCGCTGTAATACGTAGTTGAACTGAATGCGCTGGAGGAGGCATTTCCGGATCTCGTTCCGCTGTTGGTAGACCGCAGTCATTCAGAGATGCACCCTGGGAGAGTAGTAGCTGTGCCTTGACGATATCAGTCATAGAGATGGACTCCGTGATCGTGTGCTCGACTTGTAAGCGAGGGTTGACCTCCAAAAAGTAGTACTCTTTCGTTGATGGATTCACGAGAAACTCAAAGGTGCCGAGAGAGAAATATTGTATCTATGAATATATTAGCGAGACAGAATGGCCATCAACATTAGTACCTACATGTTTCGCCATTTTCAAAGCATTTTCGATGACCTTCGCGATCAGCTTCCGGTCAGGCACAGCGCTGGGCGCAAGCTCAACAATCTTCTGATATCTTCTCTGAATGCTGCATTCGCGTTCCCAGAGATGCGTTACGTTTCCGGTACCGTCCCCGATGATCTGTACTTCGACATGCCGGAAGCCATCGACTGCAGCCTTTTCTGCAAAGACTTGCTTGGACGGGCTTTCTTCGACTGCTCTTTTCACTAAAGAAGTAAGCTGGTCTTCGCTGCGAATGAGACGAATACCGCGGCCACCCCCTCCATCTACTGCTTTGACCATGATTGGAAAGCCGACTTCAGATGCGAAGCGCTGGACGTCTTGAACTTTGTTAGTCGGTTGCTGGAGTGCTGGAGATACTGGAACGTCGCCTGTTTTACCTGTCAGTAATCTCGCGACTCTAACGCGCCTTTTGTCTTACATTGTTGGGCAAGCTCTCTCGCCTTGAGTTTATCTCCAGTATTACTCAAGATACCCCACCCAGGGCCGACAACTACTGCGCCGGTTTCTTCCCAGATTCTCTTCGAGAATTCTTCTGACTCTGACAGAAAGCCATATCCTGGATGTACAGCATCGATTTGGTGCTCCTTGACGATGCCGACAAGACCATCAATGCTCATGAAGGATGAAGCTGATGATAGTTTGATCGCATGGTTTGCCCGGACGGCATGCGAGTCGTCGCCTGATACGTATATTGCAAACGTCTCAATGTCGAGTTCTCGCGCTGAAGAGATAATTCGTGTTGCTATCTCTCCCCTACAGACAGTTAATCACGCTCACCAGGACACTACTTGGCCACTAACCTATTCGCGATAAGAAGTCGCTTGATGGGTCTTTGTGGAGGGCGCGTCATATTGGAGTCCAGCCAGCAGTATGGATCGGTCAAGCAGTACATTCGTGGATATACCTGGGTACCTATGCCACTATACCATCAGTGGAACGACTCGAGTGGACGAGTCGTGGAATTAGGTAAGGCGTGGTCACGTCGTCCGTCGTCAAGGAGGCTTTCAGGGAGCTGGAATGCGATTTGGATTATATGACAAAGCGGGACGCTCGTTGAACATTCGATTCATCCACAATGACATGGTCGCGTTTTGACGGAGTGCGATGGAGGAGGGCAAGCGCGGGGAGCTTGAAGATGCCTCGGTTCCCCAGCTCTACCCCAACATTCTACCACGACCATCCCATCTTGGTCCGCATCATCGAGATGTGACAATTCCGTTGTCGCTCCATCACTGGAGCTCGAAAACAATCTTAATTATACTTCATCAACAGTCATGGCTGGCGACGACCCAAAGCCCGTGCCCAAAGACGCGTCGACGTCATCCGAAACCGCCAAAGACCGACTCGCGCAGGTCAGCTCCCACATCGCGCCCAACACACCAAAGCGACGACGACGGAAAGGAGCAGACTCAGATCTGCCCGCTGATTACTCAGACATCCTTGGGCAGATCGCGACTCTGCGCAAAAGTGCCGCGACGCCAGACAAGAACAATAGGGGCTACGTGAGGCAGAAGCAGGCAGGGAAACTATGGGTGCGCGAAAGAGTCGAGCAGCTGCTTGATCCGGGGAGCTTCCAGGAGGTGGGCAGCGTGAGTGGGACAGTCAAGTGGAAGCAGTTAGGGCCAGTAAAAGAGGAACCAGAAGACTACGTGCCTTCGAATAACGTGCAGGGTATGTACTATGGACGGCATTGGGAAGATGTACTGACTGCGGGTAGGCTTCGGACGATTACGAGGTCGAAAGATTGTGTTCACGGCCGATGACTTCTCCATACGCGCTGGACACGCTGATGGGGCGCTTATGGAGAAGACTGTAAGCTCGATTCATTACATCCATCCATGCTGGTACTGACGACTGCAGATATATATGGAGAAGCTCGCGATCGCGTTGAAGCTTCCCATCGTCAAACTCGTCGATGGCTCATCAGGCGGCGGTTCCGTCACGACCATTCGCTCCACAGGCTTCTCCTACGTCCCTCCGCTACCCTCCTTCGCACAAGTCGTACAACAAATCAACATGGGAATACCGAATCTGGGCGCCGTCCTGGGACCGGCCATTGGTCTAGGAGCAGCTAGGGTGGTAGCCTGCCACTTCTCAGTCATGGCTGCAGATATCGGCTCCTTGTTCAACGCTGGTCCCAGTGTTGTCAAGAACGCGACATTCGAGGAAGGTCTTTCATTTACAGATCTTGGTGGGCCTGCAATGCATTGCACCAATGGCACAATCGATAACCTGGCGCCGGACGAGGCGGGCTGCTTTGAACAGATACGCACGATTTTGAGCTACCTGCCCGACTGCGGTACGAAGCTGCCTCCAGCAATCGACTGCTCTGACCCAATCGACCGAATGTCCGAAAACCTCCGATCAATTATACCGCGTTCCAAGAACCGCATGTACAACCCGCGGGCCATCATCACCGAAGTTGTCGACCAAGGCTCGTTCTTCGAGATCGGAGCGCTCTGGGGAACTACAGCCATAGTAGGCCTTGCGCGTTTCGCAGGCAAACCGGTCGGCATAGTCTCTCTCAACTGCGAGCAGAATGCCGGCGCACTGGATGCATTGGGTTCGCAGAAGATTACACGCATGCTAAAGTTCCTTGACGTATTCAACCTCCCGCTCGTCCAATTCGTCGACGTCCCAGGCTACGCGATAGGAACCGTTGCAGAGCGCACTGCAACGATGCGGCACGGCGTCACTCTCGCTGCGACCTATTACAGCACAACCATGCCCATCTTCAACGTCATCGTGCGACGCGTCTACGGCGTAGCAGGAGGCATCATGCTAGACTGCCGCGACCCACGCATGCGCGTCGCTTGGCCGTCCGGCGTGTGGGGCTCCTTACCGCTCGAGGGTGGCATTGAAGTTGGACATTCGTTTGAACTCAAGGAGATTGAGAGGACAGAAGGAAGAGAAGCGCGAGACAGGCGTTATACAGAGTTGGAGAACGAGTACAAACGACTGATGAACCCAGTTCGTACTGCGAACGCGTTTGGTATCGAGGAGATTATCGATCCGGCATATACACGGCGAGTCTGTTGTGAGTGGACACATCACATGTACGAAAGCTTACTGCCAGAGCGCGTTTTGGAGAGGATCGCGGGAAAGGTGCAGCCTTCCTTTGCTTAGAGTTGGATATCGCGTTCGTGTCCGAAAGGGCTCTCGTAAATACACACGATCTGAACTTTATCCTCCAACACAGTCATTTACTCACCGGTCACCTACACTGCGCCATGGAAACAGCCGGTCAGAGATAGCGCTGAGTTTACGATACGTTCGCAACATCTGGAGTAGTCCGTCAGACACCATCGCTTACTTACACCGCATCGCTTACCATAAGACATGCCGCGCACGGCCCACTGTTGTTCATCTTCCGCAATCGGCTCATTATATCCTGCTTGTATATCCAATGCCATGGAGCCGAAGGTTCGTCCTCCGGATGCGGTGCCGTGCTGACCATTCTGGAACAGGCTGGCCGTCAAATTGGTATCGCTAATCAAGTTCTTACTGGGTACTTTACCCCTCTTGGCATGTCCTCGGGTTGAGGAAACTTACATCGAGTATGAGATGTCATCGTGTATCATGCGCACGTCTTTTGGCTCCGACTTACAGATTTCTTTGTCGCATATCGCCGAACAAACATTACGTAGATACGTGTGTTTCATGCCCACAGTCATACGAACAGCGACACAAAAGCGAATCTGCGTGGCGTACTACTCTATCCGCGTACCACAACTTTAAGGACGATCCTTGATTCGTTACTGGACGTCGTATATGACCACCAACATCGCCCGGGTGCGGGGCAAAGGTCAATGCACTCCTACCCCAGCACAACTCTACCACAGCCCTTCCAGTTTCGCTTTCTCACCTGCATGCAGTTTGGTGATACGAGCCATGATGCGCCACGCAAATCTGGGGTATATAGGACTAACGGGCATGTCCGCACGCCCCGGACGCCCATCACTGCTAGCCGCCACTGCTTCGTTTATCTGTCTAGTGACATTCCCTCGACTTCTGCTGGAACTGCAGTTTGAAGTGTGATACCAAAGATGGCGCCTGTTGGCGCTGCGGCGGCTGCGAGGCAGGCGGAACCGATATTGACGCGCATTGTTGAACAGGACCAGATACCTTGGTACAGAAAGCGGAATTTGAGGAGGCTGTATGCACTCTTGCTGCCGACATGTATTGGGATTGAGATGACTTCTGGATTTGATTCGCAGATGATCAACGCAGTGCAAATCGCGCCAACATGGCGGCTCTGTAAGTCGAGGTTTCGGCCACAAGATGCCGTTGCTGACAACGTAGACTTCAATAACCCACAAGGAGCGCTTCTCGGTATCATGTCTTCAGCATACAACCTTGGCGCAATCTGCGCTCTTCCACTCGTGCCGTACGTGAACGATAGATTTGGCCGACGATGGGCAATCTTCTTAGGCTCTTGGATCATGGTCGTAGGATCTGTAGTACAAGCCTTCTCCATTAGCGGTAGGACTGAACGTTCAATCATCAGATGAAGTTTATACTAACACGTTGTAGCTGGCATGTACGTCGGCGCGCGCTTCATCCTCGGTTTCGGCATACCCTTCTGCATCATCGCAGGTTCATCACTAATGGGCGAGCTTGCATATCCAAAAGAACGACCCATCATGACCTCTCTCTTCAACGCACTCTGGTTCGTAGGCTCGCTCATAGCAGCCGGCGTATCATATGGCACCCAAAGCCTGAAAGACGACTGGGCCTGGCGCATACCTTCGCTACTCCAAGCCGGCCCATCACTACTCCAAATCGTCTTCATCTTGTACCCGCCTCATTCCCACTGCTTCCAAAATCTCAACAAGCTAACCTGCCCAGCATGATCCCCGAATCCCCACGCTTCCTCATCTCCAAAGACCGCCGCGAAGAAGCCTACGCCACACTAATAACCTACCACGCCGAAGGCGCCACAACCTCCCCCTTCGCCGCCGCAGAAATGGCCCAAATCGAACACACCATCCGCATCGAACTCGAACATTCAAAACGCTCCTGGCGCGAAATGATCGCCGTCCCCGGCTTACGCAAGCGTGTGATAATCGGTTCTTTCCTCGGCCTCTTCACCCAATGGTCTGGAAATACTTTACTCAGCTACTATCTCAACCAGCTCCTCAACATGATCGGGTACGACGACCCTGGCTTCGTCGGCAAAGTGAACGTTGGGCTCAATAGCTGGAATCTGGTGAATGCCGTGTGTATCTCGCTATTAGTGAGGCGGTTTCCGCGCAGGAAAATGTATCTGATCTGCGCGAGTAGTCTGTTGTGTTGTTATGTCGCGTGGACGGTGGCGATGCAGCGGTATACGGCTACGAAGAGGATTGAGCCGGCGAGGCTGACGATTGCGATTATCTTTCTGTATCAGATGTGTTATAATATTGGGTATAATGCGTTGACTTACAGTAAGTCGGTGGGAGCGTGTTTGATGGGGAAAGGGATGCTAATGGAGTCGCAGCTTTTTTGGTCGAGTTGTTCCCATTTGCGCAGCGCACGAAAGGGATTACTATCTTCCAGTTTTTTAGCCGGACAGCGGTTTTCACGACAACGATACTTAACCCGATCGGGTTGAAACATGTTCAGGGAAAGTGGCTGATTATGTATTGCGCTTGGCTGGGGTTTGAGATTGTTTTTATCGTAAGTCATCTTTACTTTCGCAGGGTTTTGCCCTGTACATATCCTTGAAATGGGAAGCATCAACTGATAAATCTGCACAGTACTTCATGTTCCCCGAAACCTATGGCCGCACCCTGGAAGAACTCGCGTTCCTCTTCGAAGACCACGCGCTTGCTGATGAAGCGACGACGCATGTAGAGAAGCAGATGGAGTGGGCTGAAAGGCGGTGGAGCCGGATTGATGAACGCATGAGTTGGGAGATGGATGTTGTGGTACCGAGGAAGGCGCATCATGGTCAAGGAGAAGGAGGCAATGATGTAGTGACGCTGGATGCAAGAGAAACAGTTCAACGGCATCAGTATCGGAGGCGTAATAGTAGCTGGGAGGATCTTAGGCAGCTGTAGTCGCGTATTTATTTGCATTTCAAGATTGTTGTCTCTGCCTGCGATGCTTCACTCTCCCACTGACGCCCCAGCAAGTTACAGTTTTGAACCTTATCCAAGCCGCATGTCTGACAGCAGAAGAAGGTACTGTTATAAATGATGTACAAAGGTTTTCTCGTGACGTGAACAATCACTCTACCCAGAACAGAACTAATCCCAGTGCGAACTGGTTTTCTTGACTACTACCTTCACGAAGAAGAGTGCACCTTTCTCTGGCTTTAACTGCGACCTGATTCTGTTCCGCGCTAGCTATCGAACTTGTTCTGCGGTATTCTTTGTAACAAGCGGCCTACAGAATTGTAGTGTTGTAAAAACAGAAGCGTCCCCAACAAAGACATGCCCTAACGTTACCTGTTCAAACTCTTACTTTTAGACGTAGTACATTATGCTCTAATCCTTCTCTCCCCTTTCGTTAAAGTTCTGCGCAAGAACTACGCTATCATCTATCATCAGTGTGGCATCTACCACGCCGCCGTCACTCCCGTCCGCAAAAAAATCGCCAACACTCCAAAAAGGACAGGGCTTCTTCCCACGCATCACCCAGCACTGTAAATGACGCATAGATTGGTAAAAGAAAGGTCTTGCCCGGAATCGAACCGGGGTTGCCGGAAGATACTGATTTTAAGATCAGAATCCGGAGTGATAACCGCTACCTATATGGTGATTAGCGGGGGCAAGCTAGAAGTGGGAATCTGTGAAGACGTACACTACAAAACCGATGGCAATTTGGAAATTACATCAAATATATAGACTATTCTCAAGCCTGCACGCGGCCGTCGGCGATGGAAAAGAAAGACTGGTTGAGAAATTTGATGTGTGGATGTTTGAGTGTGATGTGGGGCTGGCTGATGAGGGGTAAGTTTGTTGGCCGACCCCGCCGAATCATGTTCAGTGGAAGAATTTTACGTGCGTGGATGGGAACATAAACCCTAACACCTCGTAAAAGATCAAAACTGAAAAGGTCTGGAGACTACATCAACATAAGATAGTGCAAAGTAGGTGACCTAACGTCGATGTAGGCCCTGGGGTATTCAGCTTTTTCCAAGGTTGACGTGCTGCACTGCCATTGCGATCCTCGATCATCTATAAGCTACTCACGTTCTAACGTTCTTTGATGGTGGTATCAGTATCCTCGAAAGCTTTCCGATCCAACCCTGGCGTTCCAACAGTGTAGATCAAGTATGTCCCAATAACGCTATGAATGACAGATCCAAGCAGGATGTAGAAGTGATTGAGACGGTCCAGGTTTGGTTTGACCAGTGCAGCCTTTGCATTCTTGATGTATATACATTCAGTCGCTCGGAACGAAGCTGCGAGAGGCGTATGTAAGAAGATCGCAGGTACAGTATACAGGGTTGGGCCTGTGCTTAATTCATTTGCGTTTAAGTTAGCGATTGAGACAGTCGGCCATATGATTCACTGCAGAAGACATCGCAAGGAAGTCAGGGGGCAGCACTAGAGGAAACGAAGAGAGCGCATTGGACGAGAGAGCCGAACAGGTAGCGGATGAACAGTCCACTGTGCAGCTCTGCGTTTGTGTGTTCTGTGTCTGAAAGCGGATGTGCGTTGCCTCCGGGTAGAACACTTCTGCACTCAGCAGTACGGCTCATGCGAGACACCACGACTAATACCCCATTTCAATATCGATGAGGTCCGAAAGGCATCATGTTTTGAACGACCAACCAAGAAGAAATCTATTTGAACCCAGTGTAACAACCCTACGGCGCCTTAACGCCCTTCCCGCTACTCCCACAAATATCCATCCACCTCTCCGTCGCCTCCTGTATCACATCCATCTGCATATCAATCAACTTAGCCAGCGGCGTCGTTGGCGCGTTCTTTCGCAAGACCTCGTTGCCGGGCTCCAGTAACAACTTATTCACATTCAGCTTGACAGCACCAGATCGTATACACCGCTGCATGACCTCAGGCGGGAAATCGTTGGTGCCGTGTAGTGCGACCAAGACGCGCTTGTTGATTTGCTTGTCGATCGCTTCGAGGCGGTCGTAGTGTAGTTGACCTTCTTTCGGTCCAGCTGGGCCGTAGTCACCGTGGACGTTGCCGATTGAAGGCGCGAGGATATCGACGCCCGCGGCGATGAAGTTGTCGACGTCTTCGGGGGATGTGAAGAGCGCTGGCAAAGTCAGTATTTACTCTTCATCTCCAATTTGAAGAGCTTGGTATAGCCTACCTTCAAGATCTCCCGTATCAGCAATACCATCCTCTCCACCGTTTATCCGTCCGCTCTCTGCTTCTACTGCGATACCCTTGTCCTGGCATTCTTTGGTCAATATCCTCGTCTTCTCTAGATTCTCAGCCTCGTCATAATGTGACATGTCCACCATAACTGAATCGACAGGGAGTGTCGCGATGATTTCCCGAATGTGCTCGACATCTTGCGCGTGGTCGATGTGTAGGGAGAGAGGTACTGTCGCGGTCTTCACGGCGTGCGCTGCGGCATGCGCGAGGAGGGGTAGTTGTTTGAGGGTCGACGGGAAGAGTTGGATAATGAGGGGCGATTTTCTTGACTCGGCTGCGCGAACAAGAGCTGTGAGTTGCTCGACGTTATAGCTGGTCTACGGTTAGCACCGCGGCTGGTATGTGTGGAGAGTTTCGTACGCGATTGCGGCCATGACGCCGTAGTTGCCTGCGGCAGCGGCATTGAGTATGGCAAGCGTACGATTATCTTTGCTGACTGGCATGATGGCTATAGAACGATGTATATTGGCGATGTCTTTGATGTTCTATCGTATTATTATGTAGTGTTGGGAGAATTCGAGCGCATTCAATTCACCATGTCGGAACCGTCTCGGAACTGAAGCTATTATCATGTCCCCGCGGCTTATTGATTCGGGAAAGCCGCGGAGTTTGAGAACTATCATTGGTGCTCGTCGCGAGCAGTCTGGATGGCCTTGACGGAGTTGCGAGCGAGACGGCGGGCACGATGGAACCGCCCGACAGGCCTTAGCCGATGTGCCTCGTTACGAGGCACAAACGTCCCAGAGAGGCGATCGGCCCTCCAAGATGTACCCCGCTTCTACTCCATCTCTGCAGGGAATTGCACGACGGCGAACATACACCTCCGTGTGGGGTCTGTGGGGAAGGCGAACCTGAATAAGAGCCTGCTCCGCTACAACCTCCGACTTCTGCCTCGCAACGTGACACTCCGACCTTGTCATGCTTTCCTGGTCTTGGCCCGGACACGAGTCATGCGACCAACTCATCGGAACCAGGTCTGCATCGCAGTGGAGTCAAGGCAAGTGCGGCTGAAGATGCGGCTGAAAGTCTGTTTTCTTGCGGTCCGACACATGCCGCATTGCCGCGATGACGAAATTGACATCCACTCATGGAGGAAGATAGGACTTGACTTGCATTCGGCACGATAATGGAAGCTTATGATTCGGCTCGCCAATAGCTGGTAAGATCCGTGAGTAATGTCTTAGGTGGAAATTTGGTGATGTCAAGTGTTTGCTCAAGAAGATGCAAAATAGCGGTTTGTTTGACAGGGTTCTGAACGCATAGACCAGCTAGAGACTGTAAGCATTGTCTTGGATGGTACATGTGCAGAGGAGCTTACCAGCATAGATAGACTTGAAGTTGACCATGGCGCTCGCGATATCCCTACCTTGATGCGTTATGGCGATGCCGCAGATCATGTCTACACTTTCGTCTAAAGTGCGCTGTCGAATTCTGAACTCGTCCACACCTCCCATCGATGGCTGATTGATGAGAACGATGATCCGCGCAAAGTGAAAGGTTTGCATAGCAGCGGCGTACGAAGGAGGATGGATCCAGATGGGCGTGAACAAGGCGCCAGGTCCAGGTGGAGGTCCGCGATGGATAGGCTGAAACGACATTGGGAGGGCCGCATGCCAGTCTTCCAATGCTTGTAAAAGCTTTCCAGCCTGCTCGATGCGCGTGTTCAGATCGTACTTCTTCTCATTTGCTGCAAAGTCCACACATCTTCCGCATATGTACACGATCCGTAACGCAAGTTCATCCGGGCTGAGATCCATCAAACGCTTGGTAGGCCGCCAGATAGTGAGAACCCGTCGTCCTTCGCGGAATGCAACCCAAGTATCTTGACGTATCCATTGCCACCAGGCAGCTCTCCGAAGCGGATCTGGGGACTCTCCGTTGTTATTCTGACTCCGCTGTATCCAGAATATACCACGAAGATGTCTCTCCCAGGCTCCATTACTGTACTGGCCTTCGGAGTCCCACATCTCATATGTACTGATGAGGATGGAGGTTGATATGATCTCCCTGGACTTATTGTAGGACGGATAGAAGAGATTCTTTGATAGGTAGTGCAAAGTCTCATAGTAGTACTGCGTCGCCACCTGAATTAACGGGCTGTGAAGTTGTCTGGTCCTGCCATCTTCAGCGCCTGGTTCCGGATCATGTATGTTAAGCCGACGAAGCTGTGGCTCGTTCAGAAGTGCCATGTGCCGCGCGGACACCGCGAGCAGAGACTTCAAAAGGCCAACATTGTGGACCGCTAGAGAAGGAACAGTGTATGTAAACTGCTTAGAATGGTCGTTCAGGTCTAAAATGGGACCAATGACATTGACGTAGTGTTGGAAGAGCACAAGCTCGTCGTCCGACATGGGTATGACATCGATACAGTTCCACGGCTCGTGTCCCGATGGATCGGCATCTTCCGTTCGTTCATACGAGAGCGGATGTCGATCAGAGCTTGCTCCATCGGTTGCTGGACTTTGCTGTCTGGACAAGTTGTTCCTGTCTAGGTCCACATTGAGATTATACTTGTCGATATTGTTGATAGCATCTTCAGCAAGCAGGTCGTAGTAAGCTAGAGGTGCGGAGTTGGGAGAAGGTAACGAGTTGATGACAGTCGATGGCGATTCAAACAGGAGCTCGGGAGAAGCGTTCCAAAGCTGAGGATCGATTTCAGGTGGGATCGCTCGTCTGGCAGGCGCCGGTGATGTAGTGGCAATGGAAGAGGCATCCTGAGCCGGAGACGTGTCAGACTGTACGGAGCCAGATGCATTGCTTGCTGCACCTCCAGGAGGGTCATTGGGTGATGGCCATAAGCACTCTCTGTCGGATTTGCTGCATGTTGCGCATCGCGGTCTTAGCTCGTCACATTTCACCCTCCTTCGTCTACAAGTTAGGCTGTCTGTGTTAGCTAGTGATCAACTAGATACTCTGCACGCTGTAGCTCATCGGGCTAGTGAGCTTCACATGGGGGGAGACAAGACAACACGTGCTGAGGGAACAGCTTACCATCCAGTTGTCGTACGTAAGCCCTGCAAGAGACGCGTCGAGTCAGTAAAGGTCTCAAATGCAGTGGAGATAGGCAAACTTACTCGCGCTCGTGAGGGACGGGGTTTGCGCGGCTTGGGATTGCCTGTTGACGATGCTTGCATCACGAATGATGTTGCGCATGCTGGTGGAACTTCGCTTGGCCCTCGAGGATCCGCTTCGGCGGTTAGGCCTGCCGTGGGGAACGAGTCTCTGACCAACGGGACAGGCTTCAGACTAGTCCAGGATGATACAGCGCATGCGGAGCCCAGTTGTTGATATCTCGCGAACCTAGGAAAGGCGATCAGACGGTGGTTGGGAAACTGTGGCAATTTCGCAAAAGGCCCGCGTCGGATACAGTTCTAGGACCCCGCGCCAGTCCAAAGCACTGTCCACCACCGGCAGAAGTTGGGAGGCCTGATGGCCATGATACAGTCCTGAAGTCTGTTTGTGAGAAGTGAAGAACATGCGTTTATGCAGAAAGGAGGTATTTCGCTGATAGCGACTGGTTGTGTGCAATGCCAGGACGTGCTTAGTCAGTCGTGGTTGTGCCATTCCGGGTTCTTTCCGTTCGAGGCGGATCGCTACATCCTTCACAGTCAGCACCACCGCATCATCAGCATCAACCCCAACATCTGCACCAACATCGACACACATCACTTCCCATTTCCAGTGAGGACGAGAATTGGAAGAAGATGCGTTGAATTGACTCTAGATATATCCCAGCCAGCCGGCAGTCATGAACTCCACCCAATGCATATAGCGCGACGAAGAAGCAACCAAACCCTCTACCAGGCGCCGACAATGCCCGCAACAGGAATATCAATACCGGTAGTGTAACTGGCACTGTCTGAGAGCAGGTACACATACGCGCCGCCAAGTTCGCGGGGGTCGGCCAACCTAGGCATGCCGCCATAGTACTGCATCTTCAAGTTCCAGTCGGGCGCCCGCTCAACGTAGTAAGTCATCTGCGTGCGCACGAAACCCGGGGATATCGAGTTGACGCGGATGCCGTGCTTCGCCCATTCCATCGCGAGTGTGTGTGCCATATTGCGTACTGCGCCCTTGGTTCCTCCATATGGCGCTGATGGCGCTGCCCTGTTTGGCCGGTAGGACGTCATGGATGCTGTGAAGACGATGGACCCCTTGATACCGAGCTCGATGAACTTCTTCGCGGCTGCCGTTGCGCAGAAGTATGCGCCAAAGACGTTGAGATTGAAAAGCTGCTCGAGCTGCGGGCGGTCGAAGTTGAGTGCGGGCTGGTGCTTGGTCATTCCGGCGTTGGCGATCATACCGTCAATCCGGCCCGATTGTGCCACGATTTCGTCAATGGCTTTGATGACGCTCTCCTCAGAGGTGACATCGCAGTGCAGGTAGTGTACGCGCTTGGGGTTTGCTTGTTGGAGTGCCTTAAACTCCTCGCCGGGCTCGAAGAGGTCCAAAGAGTAGATCTCAGCGGCTTCGTTTGCGAGGCATACTGTCGCGAGACCAAGTCCAATGCCTAACAGGTCAGCATCTATCCGCAATCTAGATTCGACATGCACCGACCTCTGTTCGCGCCGGTAATAGCGACTACTTTGCCCTTCAGGGTTATCTTCCAGTCAAAGTCCTCCTTCGGCTCAGTCGTAAGGTAGACGGGATTGGGCACACTTTGCTCGACTTGGGCGTTGGCGGCCTGACCAGCAGGTGCTGTCTGGTCAGATTGCGGTGTGATGGCAGAGGGAGACATTTCCGATTGGTCTACAAGGGTAGGCTGCGAAGGTTTGGGGATATCTGGAGAGGCAGGTCTCGCGAGAGAATGGAAAATCGAGTTACCACCACCACTTCGCTGGCACCCCGCATGTTTAAGTACATCGCATTTAGGTACCCCACAAAGGCATGTGGCGACCGAGTGCTGTTGATCGGTACGAGACACACCCCACGGGTGAGAGCGCCGCGAACCAGGTCCACAAGGCCGGGATGTTGTTGAGACTCGGCTCAAACCATCTTCGGAGGCGCGATGGCCTCGTGGCGAGCATACGCGCCGACGCGACAAACACGTGAGCTTCCGACCTTTTGCCTTCGCTTAGTGGCACAAAGCTCGCCTCGAGCCACATAGCCGGGTGCGCAGCGAGTTCATGCATGGAACACGTTCTGTCGTGTTCCACAACCAATCGTAACCGTCAAGTTATCGGTGCAGGCGGGTCTGTAGCGGGCCTGTAGCGGGTTTTCGGCTCCTAGTATGCGACCTGGGCACCTGGGGTAGGGAAAAGGGCCGAACACAATCTGGGGAGGTCCAAGCTGTTTTGAGCCAACATCATCAAAACCTGTGGAGGTGAGGTATCTTCCTTCTATAAAGCTACACGGGTGTCGCATCCATCTGGAGATATCCGCAACGGTTACCGCAACACTGCAAGTCGGTTCCTTCCACTGCAGCTTCGTTCCTGTCACAACGCTGTCGCACCTGTCAAACCGCAGATCAGGACACCATGTCGTCGACACGCCACTCTCAAGATCCAGTCGACTTCAAAGAGATGGACAGCACTAAGCACGTCGAGGTCACCGAAGATTTCACATGGACGAAGGATGAAGAAGCGAAGTTGGTCCGCAAGATCGACCTGTTTCTGCTTCCGACAATCTGGCTGATGTACCTGCTATCGTACATGGATCGCACGAAGTAAGTTGTATTTCAAGTGACGTAGTAGCGATAGCTAACAAGATCTAGCATCGGAAATGCGAAAATCGCCGGTATGGCTGATGACCTTTCGCTCAGCTCTGAGCAATACTCCATTGCATTGGTTGTATTCTTCGTTACCTACGTCGTCTTCGAGCCGCCTTCGAACATGCTCTTGGTTCGCCTCAAGCCATCCGTCTACCTGCCCGCCATCATGATCATCTGGGGAGCATTGACATGCTGCATGGCCGTCATCCACGATTTCAAGCACCTTGTCGCACTCCGAATCCTCGTTGGTGTTTTCGAAGCCGGTTTCGCTCCGGGTATCCTCCTCATTATCTCGTCCTGGTACAAGAAAGATGAGCAGTCGAAGCGCTTCGGTGTATACATGTCTGCGGCTATTCTCAGTGGCGCATTTGGCGGTCTTCTTGCAGGTGCCATCACTGGCGGCATGGAGGGTACTGGTGGTCTTCGCGGGTAAGAAACAAGCCTTGATTATTGCACGAAACCTCATGACTAATTCTGTAATAGATGGCGATGGCTTTTCATTATCGAGGGGGCTGCGACTATTGTTTGGGCTATGTGCGCATACTTCATCCTGCTGGACTTCCCCGCCAACACCAAGCGCCTCACCGACCGCGAGCGTGCTATCGCTATCGCCCGCCTCAAGGAGGGCGGTGTCCAGACACATACCGAGGGCGATGAGAGGATGGGCAAGGGAAAGTCCTTCCGCCTGGCTATCTGCGACTGGAGGACTATTTCTTTCATCCTTGGCTACATGGTAAGTCATAATGCGCAAATTACGAAGATTTCGACTAACAAATGTCAGGTCATTGTCGGATCCTCCACCCTTTCGTACTTTTACCCAACGCTCATGACCGGTCTCGGATACACCGACACAGTCACCGCCCAATACATGACCGTCCCCATTTACGCCGTCGCCTTCGTCTGCACAGCAGTCACAACCTACTACGCCGACGCCATCTCCAACCACCGTGGTCTCGTCATCGCAGGCTGGCTCGGCTTTGCGCTCATAACATCCATCTGCGTATTGTTCGTCTACGAATTCAAGGCACGATATGCGCTGCTCGTTCTCATGGCTGCTGGACTCTGGTCCTCCAACGCTGTATCGCTATCTTTCGCTAGCGCAACTTTCGGATCCATGCAGCCGGAAGTTAGGGCCATCGCGATCGCGCTTGTCAATGCCATGGGCAATCTCGCGCAGATCTACGGCGCTTACCTCTTCCCTGCCGACGACAAGCCAAAGTACCTCATGGGCTTCGGTGTCATTTCTGGTATGCTGGGACTTGGTATCGCGGTGTACATCTCCCTTCACATTGCTTTGAGGAGGAAGGAGGGCATCACAGCATTCTTTTGAGACATCTTAGAATAGCTATTGACAGGCGGCTGGATGTCACCGGTCGTGCTTGTCGGCATGTATATATCATGACAGCGTTCAAATTTCATGGCAATGATCACAAAGATGATCACAAGAACGACCGCATGTGCGTAGATGATGAGTGACAACACTGACGCGCCTCCATCATGCATCAACAGTATCCTGTGATCCTCTACTTCCAGATTCCAGGACTGTGCCGTCACAACAGCCCTTCGATATAAAAACGATACTAACCTCCTACTGCCACGACCTTTTCTGCGATACAACTTCTCCTACCGCGTACAACACTTCCCGAGAAACGTACAAGCAAAGCGCAGCAACCCAGAGTCAATTACACGAACCAGTAGCTCTCACAGCACGAATACTACACTATGGGCCTATTCAACTTCTTCAAAAGCAACACCCCACCTCCACTCTACCATCACGGCGAGCGAGGAAGTGGAAACGAATACCTATCGCCAATGCCCAGCGAACAAGATCCATCGATCCATGTAGGAAATGATCCCAAGACCATCAAGAAGCGCGTAAAAGAGAGGGTAGATGCCGAAATCTGGATCGAGCGGAGGAAGGCACAGATGGAAAAGAGCGAAAGGAGTGAGAAGAGGTGGCGTGAACGTATGAGTCGAGATGCGGAGTACTTCAAGCAATCTGGACTCAACGACAAACCTTTACCACCAACACTCAGGGCTCAGCTCGAAGCGAGTGGCGGGCCTCGCGATGAATCACACGGTCCAGGGCATTTTCGCCTTGGAGACCACGGGTTTGCTGGCATGGCTGATGATCCTCGTGCTTTGGGATTTATGCCCTTGGGTCGTCGTCGCGGAGGAAGACGTAACCCAGGATGGCCGGACCTACAGAGTATGGGCCGTGGAGACCCAGATGTTCCAGATCATAGTTCTGGGCGATTGGACAACGGTAGAGGGGGAGGAGGAAGACCCAACGCTGGACTTCCGGACATTAGGGATGTGGGCCATGGAGGCCCGCCTGTTCCAGATCATAGCTTTGGTCGATGGGACAATGGTAGAGGGGGAAGAGGAAGAGGTCAAGAGGATGGGCGTGGCCCGCGTTGGCCTGGTGGAGGTGGTAAGGCTTCTGCTTGGAACATGCATGATTGAGGGAGGCTTGATGGGTTTGTTATCCGTGTATCGAGCAGAGATGGGAGATGTCGGAGACATGGGCGGTAGGAGTACTAGAAGTCGTTGAGATAGTGTGACAATCGCATCTTCACGCCCATTCAGTCAGTAAAGTTAATGACTCCTATCTGCTTCCCTGATCACTTTCAATTGGACGAAGTCTGAGACATGGGCTGTATATTTGAGGTGCGGCTCGCTGCGCGACGTCTATGTGGCATCACTCAATCGGCTCTTGATTTATAGATGAGCATTGTTACAGCAATCGAATGTTGATGGCGTCTGTGACATTTGGTTCAGCTGACGAGCGCAGCGATGTACGTGGCGTCACTTCACGCCTCATCAACAGCACATGATCATTCTTCACAATCATAAGTTATGGCTGTTTCGTATAAAACATCTCTCTCCTATGACCAGTGCAGCTTCCTACGATACCTTCTTCTGCCCTACACCAAAACAGCTACCGAGGTACTTAGCAACAACTCCGGCTTGACACTGACGTCCAAAACCAATACCTACTTCCTCCAAACATGGACCCCTTCTTCATTAGGCGCCGCGGCAAACCTGGAAAGTCGTCCGGGGGGTATCCTTTCGGGGGTTATCCTTTCGGGAAGGCACAAGGCAAAAGTCATCTTTTTCCCACTGACAAAGAGAAAGCGGAGACAGCCCAGGCTTGGATGAAAGAGAGAGCTAGATTACTTGAAAGACACAATGAGCACAGGAAAGATCATGGTCTTGAGCCAATGCCAGCCGACCGGGTACAACGTTTCGTCCAGCCGCCCAGCGAGTTGGAGGCGTATATCTTCAGTCGATATCGGTCCAACAATGGGTTCAACAGCCCTCTTAACGGCCGTTTCAACAAAAGAGACCGATTCTCAGCGCAAGCGGAATACTACGAGTTGCTGACGGAAGCATATGGTGACGCTGAAGAGTGGGAGAAAGTCTACGCTGATCAGTGGGCCAAGCTCTTCAAACCGCCTCGCCTCCATGGAGTGGGCGAACGCCGCAATATGAGGGGAATGTTTGATGATGATGATGACGATGATGACGATGACGACGACGATTGTTATGGCAATGTAGAACGTGGAATGCCTCAAGGGATAGGCGAGCCAGTGGATGGAGCTGGAGGTTTTGGAGGTGGGGCTGGTATGCGTGTACCTGGTGGTATGGGCCCTGACGTTCCCGGTGTGGGCTTTGGTGCTGGCTTCGGCGGTGCCAAGAGGCGTGGGCGTCGATAGGAGGATCTGCAGTATTCACGGCGGAAAAAAGCCATTTTTTCCAGTAATAATGGTGTATGGACCTACTTCCAGTCTAGGCAGTAACTTTGTACACTCATTTGTTCCACATCTTCTTCCACATAATATCGCAAGTGCTCTCAAACCGTTGTTAATGTCCGCGTCGCAATTGTATTGCTACTCATGACCTGACAGAAAAAGTACCAGTGGCAGAAGCATATATTGGAACTATTAGTAGCCTTCGCTCCTCATTAATTATGCGAATTTTTGTCATACTTTACTCTCATCTTCTAGCTTCCAGTAATGGAATGCTTGCGCGTCAATCTGGCCATGACATCCATTCATACACAGTTGTATGAACTTGGTGCTCATTCATTGAAGCATGCAATTGGAGCGCCAGCAACCCCTTCACATATACTGGTGATAAAAGAAAACGTTCTCTTCTGCTTCTAAACCCGTAAACCACCTCTCACAGCCTCTACGCTCATTGTAAATAGCTTAAAAATCATATACCATATCTTACAGTATTATATTCATCGAATATCATGTTCTCGGGCTCATATGCCGAGAAAAGCCAATGGGTCCGTCGAAAAGGTGAAGCCTTCGGATTGAACTCGAAAGGCGAAGCTGCGTACTACACGAAAGAAGTCAAAGGAAAGGAGACAAGATCGACTAGCGAATATTCCGTGAAGGTCGCGAAAGATCGCAGGTCGGGAACCCATAAGTCATCAGGCCGCGTATCGAGTCAACTCGCACCATTACCAGAAGCACCTGAACCGCCACCTGCAGTTCGTCCTTCGAACAAGAGTACGACCGAGTCCAGTCGCAGTACTTCTAGAAGAGACTACGATGCGCCACCCGCACAAAGAATGCCAAGTGCAACTCGCAGCAGTCGCAGCTCTTACGCTACTAGCGAGGTCAATGCTACCCAGGAACATATCCCGGAAGCATATCCTAACCCGTGTTCACGAGAAGCTCCCCGTGTGGCATCAAGCAGGATCTCGATTGCTCAGTCTCGGGTCAATGAGGGATATGCACACAAAGCTGCTGAGCAGGATCGTAGCGTAGCCGGTAGCAGCAAGAGTCGTCATAGCCATCGCGAGCGGAACACCCCTTCCCAGACCCGTACTTCCACACGCGAGAGCAGTGGACATTCAACTATTCAAACAGGTCGTGCACATAGTACCTCGAGTCGCTTCCACGATGATGTCGAGTACGACGCGAGATCTCCCAGAGGGCGAGCCCCAAGCGAAGTCAGTAGTCAACACTCCAGCTCTCGTCACCCCTCAGAGCATCGTAACGGAAGCCGCGCTCCATCCGCATATGAAGATGAGCAGTACGACAGAGACAGGGAATACGATCCTGAGGATGACGGAATTTACCACAGCGAGGGAATCCGACCAGAGGATTCCGCCTCTTCTGTGGGTGCAGCACGCGCAGAGAGAACACGCCCGTATGCGCAGAGCATGATCGATCGAGAAGTCGAAAAGGACCTAGTGTACATGCCTGGTAAGGCCAGACTATACAAAAAGATAGATAGACATGCTACTTATAGAACGGAATTTGTTCTTCCAGCGTGGATGAGCGGAGAGAGAGTACCGGGCAGTGCTGGATCAACGATCTAGGCGGTGGATCAATGAAGCGGTGTGGCAAATTTGTATCATAGAGAACTCTAAAACATATTACATCCACTCGGGTGTTACCACACAAACCTTAGAAGTCCAACGCTTTGACACTCGCGATAGTGAATGCGGAAATTGCGAAAAAGAAACCTGCAACAGCGAATGCGCCCTGTATGTCGTGTTTTACCACTGACCACACCAGCCCGAATACGATGCTTGCCAAAGTACCAAGCAGGGCTAGGCCGAAGAGCTTTAACTCGTCAACCCCAGTATCGACGTCAAGCCCCCAGCCAATACTGTACGTGTCAGTATAGTTCTGTCGTCGAAGCCAACGCGTTCACGTACCTACTTCCCCGCACTGGACAGGGCTCGAGTTTGTCAATTTTGCGTTTCGGAATGCTTGGAAGCAGAACCGCGGATGAGGGGCTGTCTTCCGGATGCAGGAAGAAGTGCATCAACAGATTCGGGCCGATCGGGGGGATGCTATCAGCTGGCATGGGTGAGTATTCGTATTCGTGATTCTGATCCACCGGTGGTATGTCATTGATCTCGTGAATATCTACCAGGCGGTGATGGTAAAGGCGGAACTAATAGATACTATCAGTCAAAGCTAAATGGCGCTCTGGGTGCGTGAGAAGAACCTGCCTTTACAAAGCGCAAGGCTGTTGCTTTCTTGAACGACAACAACCTCTTGTATCTGTCCTTGGACTCTTCATAGCGCTGCTTGAGAGCTCTGAAGAGATCGACGTCTGTTTTGAACTTGCATGACTGCAGCGCAGACATACGTGTAGCATAGCGACTCCAAGGAATACACCAGTGAATGAAGTGGTGTTCATGCTGATTCGTTTGGGTCTGCATGTCGCATGGCTTTATGCTCGAATAATTGCCTTTTTGATTCACGGGTTGGTGCTGTGGGAGCTGTGCATTTGGTGCGGTCTTTGTAGCGAACGTAGGTAGTAGGCCCCGAAAGGAGAACGACGCCTTGCTTCGCTGCGATTGTTGCGACGCTGCTTGCTGATAGATCTTTCGAACGGATAGCAGCCTTACTTGTCGTAGAATGTTGATGACAGCTCCTTGAGACAACTCTTCATAGTCGTCGGTGATGATCTCTCCGCAAGACTATCGAAGTTCAGTCTCGCGAAAGTAAATGAGTTTCAGAGCAGGAAAGGCTTACGCATGCAAATCTGATTGACGTGATATGCGGTCCAGAGTGGACCTCTTCACCCACTTTGTCTACTCTAGAAGAAGGAACACAGCTGGGCTCGCATGTAGTCTTACATGTATTGGGAGCAAATGATCTTGCCAATTGCAAGAACGCTCTGCTCGAGCATGCGAATGTCTCGAAAGACGCGACTTCACGCTGCTTTTCTGTCATATCCTCCTGAGAAGTCATGGATGATGCACAGCTGCGACTGGCATGTATGAGCGGGTAAAAATGCCAACCCGGCACTTGTTGTGTCCATGCTGCATTGATTTCGGTTGAAAGTTTTGATAGCTTGTCCCGAGTGCTCTTGATCCCGGCACGATCTGAATCAGAGAGCATGTGAATTTTCGCCTCCCTTGCCAGGTCGGTAAGAAAAACATCCAAGAGCAAATCACCGTTGGAAGGAGATTTCCAACCCATTTCGGGCGGGTGTATATGTCTTATCACGATGTCGGCCATCTCGTCCTCGTAGTTGCGCGTATGTCTCGCGAAGTTCCTTACATTGTCTTTCAGCGCCTTATAGGCGGTTCCATCGAAAAGAAACTCCCGGATCTTGGAAAATGCCGGCATGAGGATAGGGTCCGCATCGTTTAAATCGATCAGCTGGAGTCGCTGCAACGACCCGAAAGCGTTCTTTTCGTCGACTAGATACGCTCCAAGAGCTGTAGTCTTTTCAACGTTGAAGTGTTCGTATATCTTAGACGAAAGATAACGTAGGCGACGTCGCAAGAATGCGCAAGTATGATGTTGCAGGGTGGAGTCAGCCTCGGAGCGCAAATCCCTCTCGAACGCACCTAGGAAGAAATGGATATCATCCACATTCATCTCAACTGTATCCGTTGTCTGAGAGCAAACCAATTTCTGCCAACTTAGTTGAGGGTCTTCCAACAGCACCTCAATAACCTCTGCAACAGTATCTTGCCCATCCGATGCGATGAAGGAAGTACATCTGCTTAGCGTAATCGAGGTCGAACCGACGCTCTCGCCGTCATCCGAGCTATCGTCTGATTTCGTGACATTGTCAACGATATCGGCAACCTCAGCACCGCGTTTGAGTTCGTAAGGTTCTGACCTCGGAATGGGATTCCCTCCATGTGATGAGCAGAGATATCCTACTAAGACCGTCTTCTCCTGAATACCGTGACCTCGCACGCCATGTTTTGCACAGGGATCTATCGGGTGCCTGTAGTATAAGCAACGACAATAGGTGTATCTTTCGATGACTTGGTAGCACATTTGAGATTGCGCTTGAGATGTAGGCCTTGGAATCTGCGTCGCATCTGTGTTGCCTTGGGAGGGAAGGCTGCGGGGTAAGTTGAAGTGTAAGCAGCCGCCTGCCCGACGAGATTGGTTGCTTCCTGGGTATCTTTAGCTTTAACCGAAGACGTCATGCCATGCTTCCCCCCATCCATTTCCCAGCACCATAGCCTCATGGACAGACATGTTGATACTACAAATATTTTCGCATTCATTATGACCAGCCTCTGCACGTTTCGTGACCAGAGAATGTGCAATCACATGTATACACTTACAAAGTCACCACGCCGGTACCTGCGCTCATAGCGGGACTCGCCACAGCGAAGCAGAATTTCGTGTGTGCCCGAATTGAGTTCGTGCTCATTGCCCATGCCAATCATGTACCGTGATTCACATCTCTCTTCCGTCACCCGTGAGCCTTCGTAGAGTCACGGTTATGTCGACGTAGTCAACTTCACTTAGTGACACTGTGAACGCAGTCATACGATTGCATGACCTGATTATCTTCAAGAATGACCATTCACATGAGGCTCATTCAAATATGCGGCCAGATACCCTACCTTATCCATCATTTGCCATCATACTATTTCGCTTGAAAAACTAATCTGGATACATTCCTTGATGCACAAGCTCACACTCAAGTAAACGTGGGCCGTCCTGCGATACAGCTACACCCAAAAGCGCAAGCCTGGACCCGTACCAAAGGAAACGGTGCGGAAACTAAGAAATTCGAGGTCGAGAAGCGGAAAGACGTGCACAACGTTCCTGGGAAAGACAGACCGTCAAGTTACAAAGTAACAAGTCGCGGACCGCATCATCCTCTGCCTGAAACGCAGGTCCCGATTGCAAGGGCGCCTCCACCTGTAGTACACTTATCTAGCACAAGTCTAGCAAGCGCGGCACCAATTCATAGTCGAGAGAGGCCCTATGTTCGAGGTCTACCCGAGGTCTCTGTCGTATCTTACAACGCATATCCTCGAAGCAACATCAGTGAGGCCCCAAGCCATGCACCGGCAAGACCAAATCTTGCAACTTCGTCGCATACCCCGAGCGTCGCTCATAGTACTCATAATACCCACGCTGTGAGCGTAGTCAGCGATCTTAGGAGTCATGCGAGCACCAACAGCGTCGCTCAACCTAGCTTACCTGGAGAATCCCATCCACCTTCTCTGAGAGCTATCCCAATACCATCCTCAAATACGATTAGCTCTCGTACTCACAGCGCTGTGAGCACTGCCCCGAGGACGGCTTCCGAGGACTATCTGTCTTCGCCCGTGTCAAGAAACAGCTCTCGCGCACCGAGAGCTACATCCGCCGCTCCGAGTCACGTACCCGAGATTTACCCGTCTTTACCCCCCTCACGAGATAGCTCTTGCGTCGCTCAAAGCAGGGTACCCGAAAGCACGACGTCTGTGTCTGAGTCAAGACTTCTAACGTATCGCGCCCCAAGCGTTGTGACCGTCACATCAAGTACGATATCGGACCAGCACCCGCTTTTTCCTGCGTCAACTGCTTCAAGCGTGATACACAATTTGCAGCCGTCGCGTTCTCCGAGTGTCGCTAGTGTTGCCAGAAATACGGTATTGGAGGACCGTTGTGTGTTAGCCGCACCTGTATCTGGGAGTCCTGGTATCGCACCTAGTAGCGTCAGCGTCAAAAAAGAGTCGTCAGAATACCTGCAAGAGAGCCACTCGCGGGATCCCTCGCGAGCACCGTCCTTGCAGCCCCTATCTTCACGAGCGCCATCTTCGCGAGCTCCATCTTCGCGAACGTCTAGCGTAGCACCAAGCATTCGAAGCGAACATGTCAGCAGCACTGTCAGTGCCGCTCTACTCCGCGCCAATGAAGAGTACGCCAAATCTGTAATCAGCTGCGGTTCAAGCGAAGTGGAAAGCAGTGTGCGAAGCCACAGGCCAAGTGTCGTCCATCGCGACGAAAATCATGCCGACCCAGTCCCCGAACGAGCCCCAAGTAACGCTGCAAGTACTAGGAGTACTCGCGAATCGGGTCGCAGTGAGCGAGATATGAGCATCGCGTCTACAGCCAGAAGTCATGCGTGCGAGCAAGACTACGAGCCGAGAATCCAAAGCCAGTCGATCTCGAAGCGAGCCTCGAGTATCAAACCTAGTCGGAGTGAGCGAGGCGGCAGCACCGCGTCGAAAGCCAGAAGTTATGTCGATGTTAATGAACATGAGTCCAGTAGCGAACGCGAGCCAACTTCGAGACGAGCGTCGAGTAAAGCAAGCAGTTCTAAGAGTAGTCGAAAAGCATCTCGTGATGACCGTGGTCGCAGTACTACATCTCGCACTGGAAGTGCTCAGCATGAACCAGCGGAGGTGACAGTAACTTACGATGAGCACGAAGACGCCAGGTCTGAAAGTCTACCTTACTCCGAACGTAGCAAGTCTGCCTCAACGCGTCGCAGCAGCTCGGTATCGAGCGTCGAAACCGTCCGACCACTTGCAGGCAAACACAACGCGCTGGTAGTGTACAATGACAACGCCCTTCATACCGCCAAAGCTTCGAAAGATGCTACGCGTCTCCGGTCATCCAGGCGCAAGAAGAAGCCCGACATCGATGTTCGTTCATATGTTGGCAGCGACAATGTGACCGTGGTTCTCCCGGACCCTTCGGAGGTCGGCGAAGCAGGGCCCGCATCTGGATCGCAAGATCAGCAGAAAAAGGAGCAGTATCGCGAGAAGTACCAAGAGTGGCAGCGGCAAGAGCAACAATTTCAGCAGAAATATCAGCAAAAACAACAGTACCCGCACCCGTACCCACAGCCGTACTCACAGCCTGACCCGCAGACATATATGCACACGTATCCGCCCCAGTATCGACCACAACAGCAAGCGCAATACCCTGCTTGCGGAACGCCAGTTGGATATCCGCAACATACAAACCATCAACATCCATTTCAGCAATACCCAGACCCGCGATATACACATCCACCGCCCACCGCTCAATCATACTATCCAAGTGCTGATGCAAGTTATCCGTCGCCGTACGTGACACCTACGCCTCAGTACGGAACGGGGTATGAGAAATTGGGCGAAGAACTTGAGCAAGGTCGGAGAAGTGGTCGTTTGCCTAAGACCCGGGATGAGCGACATGAGAAAGTGGGGCGGCCTCGGAGGACAACTCGCCTGGAGGAAGAGTACGACGATTCAGCGCTGGTATACGAAAAGGGCGACGGGGGTAAGTTCCCTGCGAAATGGTTTGATTGAAAGGCCTGATAGTATCGGGGTTGGGATGGTCGGAGGCTGGAGGTGGCGTATGGCTCGGCGTGGCGCAGTTTCGCAGAGCAGAGATCGGGATTGAGAAACGGGTGCTAGATCGCTCGGAGATGTAGAAGGTATAGATGATGCAGATACCTTAGTGGGTAGACTCATCGATGTGTACGTTACACAAGACTGAGGTATGAGTCACTTGACGTTAGTTATGCATTGCTTATCGTTCGACGTAGGATGAATATAATCTTGCCATCACGCAGTAGTTGGCCTTTCGAGTATTATGCCCTTGGAGATGTCAGGATATATCGCAGTGCCGTGAAATGCACACTGACCTGCTCATCGTCTCCGCTTTGACCAACGTCGACACATATGTGACCGAGCGTTACAGTGAAGGAGATAGCTTAACGGATGACTTGGAACCTGTCACGTATATGACTGCTGGCCTTCATGTCACATACGCGAACCTGCCTTGGAGGTTCTGACTGTGATCCTAGCATAGAACGCCTGTCGCATGGCCTGCCAATACCGTCAATAGCGGAATAATCAAATACCAACTTTTTGAATGCCCAATGTCACATACCGCCAGGGAAGAGAGCGGTGCACGCCCATCTATACCTGTAAATGCCACTATTGCATGCCCCATTCTTTATACAAATCAACACATACAAGCTCTAATTCGATATCCAGCAATCATCGAAACCACCCCCACTACTTTGATACTTCAACCGACCTGGGCATTACACCAATCACGAACCACACAATCGACAAGCAGATCTAGACTCCGGTGAAATAATGTCTACCGCGAGAGGAGGAGCTATAGAGAGGAGGCACGCAGAAGTCGCTCGTCTGGTAGCCCAGAACAAAGCATCCAAGACCTTCCACCGGAGGCCCAAATCGACAGAGGGTAGCATGATTTCGCAAGGCGCTATGAGCAAGACCGATGAAATGGCCAGGGAAGCCTATGAGCACCGGAGACACGAAATCCATGAGCAACGAGGACACGAAGCCCATGAGAGGCAGAGACACCGAACTGATGAGAGGCAAGAACAGCAAACAGATGAGAGGCAGAGGCACCAAGCCTACGAGAGGCAGAAACCGCAAGTCGAAAACAACCCGCGTCGCAACACCGATGAGAAGAAGAAAACCCAAGGGAAAGTCTTGATCAGCAAAGGCACTTTCCTGTTCTTCGGCGGTAAAACGGGCCCGAATCTAAAGGCCAGAAGTAAGACATTTGACGTGACGGGAGCAGTGATTGACAGGCCCAACTGGCGGCCCGGTCAATGATAGCCGATTTCCTTCTTGGTTCGTTCATGGGAAGGGTCCTTGTCGGAATTTAATTCTTGTACGCGATAGATGTAAGGTTTTGGGAACGTTTGGTGCACTGGTGTCACGTCAATAGCATCGGTAATAGATGGAATATCGTAGAGGTCTCTGACCTTGATAAATCATGGAAGTTGTCGCATCTTCACCGTTTCAGCCGTGGTCCATATAGTGCCACTGCGCTTCTCCGTGCCAAAGCACTCTTCCTCCACTCATCGACAATCCTGAACAAGGACTCTTCCTATCGAGAACAGCTTCGAGATCCCACAAGTGCGTCTTCTGCACATCATCGAATCCCTGTGTCTATAGTGTCAACAGCATGGGCTTCTTCAAACGACTCTTCGGGGGAAGTAGGACGCCGCCTCCCATTCACTTCGGTAAGGTATTCAGAACAGCCTACTAGTTCACTGCTAAATAAGCAGGCTCATATTCTACATACGGGGGATACGGTGGATACCCTGCATATGGAGGGTATCCCACATATGGAGGATATCCTGGATACGAAGAACCAAGACGCGGAAGGAACGCGTACGACTACGGTTACGATTCCGATGAGAGCCATGGCGGTTATCGATATAGTGCTGCTCAGCGACGATACCGCAACGGGTCAGGAAGACGTGGTAAGTGACATTTCCGTGAGCTGTTTCCGCGTCCAGTGTTGGATTGATACTTCCTCTTCCATTGTCCCGACAATCATCATGCCTCAGTATAAGATCGTTGTGGCTGTTTTCTTCTTCATGTACCCAACGCATTCTCACCAAGAACCATGGCACGAACGAAGAGATTTTGGGTACGCAAGCATGTCCCATCAATCTGGGAAGACTGGAGTAACAGTCGACGAGCTCATCAATTAGACCAGAGAGCGAGACACGCCAGGCCGCGCGAAGAGATGATGGGAATGCCAAATCGTATAATTTGCCATGTAGTAAGCAGAACCGATAGGAAAGAGCTGACCATGAGACAGACAACCCGGCCGGCGGTCCGCCAGGCTTCGTACCCGTTGGCAATAATAACAGGAACAATGCTAACGCCCCTGCACCGCAGCGTGCTCCTAACACACCGAACCAAGCACCACCAGCTCGGGGTCCGGGTGTTCAGGGCCAGGGCAATGCTCAACCGCCGCCACCGCCACCGCCGCAGCAACAGCAGCCCGAGTTCCTTCAGGTGCCCACTATGAACAACGCCCGCGGCCCACATCCCGCAGAGGTGGATCCTCATCTGCAGCCGGGAGGGCAGACCGAGTATGGTGAGCGGCCACGAGGGCAGGGCCGAAGCGAGTATGCTGACGCTGAACCCGCTGTTCCTGATGGCGGGCGGGGCGGAGGTGCGCCTGACAATGGACCGCCTCAGCACCCGTGGATGCCAGAGACACGGTTCTATAATCAGCAGCAGACGCGACGAAGAAGATGACGATGATGACGCAAGGTGAAATGAAGATAGAATGAAGAGGATGGGTGATGAGAGTGGAAGGCGCGCTGAGCGCTCAAGCTGGTATGATTCGCTATCTTTGTAGTATGCATCTCTATATGTCTTCTTCGAAAGACTGCAATGCATCATGAAGATTTACACTACAGCGCGCGTGGTGTGATGACAGTGACAAGCTTGGAGACTGAGTAGAAAGTGAGAGTGAAAGAAGGTTGGGCGGCGGCCACATGGGGGAGGTCTGGCCGCGGGCTTATCGATTAGGCCGCGCCCATCTCCAAAATTTCCAGCCAGCAGTCTGACGCCAATAACACCACCAAACAACGCCCACGATGCCGAAACGAAAGCGCGAGACGACCGCCGCCTCCGGGAACCTCCCTCCTCCCGTGATCACGAACCCCGCGAAACAAGCCAAGTACTGCCAGAAGCGCCTCGAAGATGCGCAAAAACCGCTCCTCCAAGCTCTGCGCCATGCTTCACAGCTCGAGCGCCAGAAGTACAGTCGCAGAAAGAAGTATGCTACCAAGAAGGGACAAAAAGAGGCAGTGTTTCGCTTGAACGCCGAGTACAATGTCCTCAAGGCGCTGAACTTGGAGCAGCTGGGCGACCAGCATTTGCGCAAAACTTTGTCACGGGTCAAAAGCTTGAAGGATGCGGAGCCACTACAGGAATACATCTCCGGCATCAGAGAAGGCAGCAAGGATACCAGCACACTCAATGTCACCGCGAGAATGTTCAAGGTCGTACAGGTGAAGAAGGCCGTGGATCAGGTTATCGAGGACCTGAAGGGCATACTTGGGGTGGACAAAGCCAAGGACAACGAAAAGGTGGAGGAGATTGTTAAGGAATATACCACAGAGGAGATGAAGAAGCACAAGGAAGAAAAGATGGCGAGGAAGGCGCAGAGGGCGAAGGCTGCCGACAAGGCCGACGTGGAGATGAAGGACGCGAGCGACGAGGCGGACGACCCGTACATGGCCTTCAGCGCGCGGATAGCCGAGCCATCCTCAGGGGAAGAAGATGACGAGGGCTCGGTGTCCGGCGATGAGCGACCGCCTAGTATCGCCGATAGCGAAAGCGAACACGACCCTGACGCTGATCTGGAAGCTGCGAGCGACAGCGATGACGAAGCGGAGGAAGTCGCACAACCAGACAACACCAGTGATGAAGAGGACGAGGACAGCGATACTGTAGCGATCTCGAGATCAGGAGCCCCTGCCTCCGACGATTCTGCCGATTCAGCCTCAGATTCAGACTCTTCCTCCTCCGAAGCCGCCATACCCACAAAGAAGACCAAAACCAAAGCCGCCCTCGAAAAGCCCACCTCCTCCGCCTTCCTCCCCGCCCTCAGCCACGCCGCCTACTTCTCCGGCTCCGAATCCGAAGCCTCAGACCTAGACGCCGACAACGCACCTCGCAAGAACCGTCGCGGCCAGCGCGCACGCCAAAAGATCGCCGAAGCGAAATTCGGCGCCAAAGCCAAACATCTCGAGAAACAACAGCAGAATGTCAAATTCGACCCCAAACGAGGCGCCGTTGCCGGTGATGACAAGCGACAAAGACGGGGCAAGCCGCTGGGTGGTCGGGGCGTGCAGCAGAGTGGAAGCAATGCGGAGCCGTTGGGCAAGAAAGATGATAAGAAGGATAGGAAGATGGGGCTGGGTGTTAAGAGGGATGATAAGGGTGAATTGCATCCTAGTTGGCAGGCAGCGAAGTTGGCGAAGGAGAGCAAGAAGTTGAAGATTGATCTTGGGGGTAAGGGGCCTGCGGCAGGAAAGAAGGTGGTTTTTGATTAGGTTAGATACCCCAGAAAAGTTTGCGCGGGTGGTTTGTTAATGAGAGGGCTGTTTCGTGCATGGTATATCGTATGGGTGCTTGAGATCTTGTTCGCGTAGATGCGTGTCTAGCAGAGGTATAATTCGGCTTCGGAATAGAGATGTCATAAAAGTCAACGAAGAGAAGGACGAGAAGCTATGTCTTTACGCATTACGCGGTATGAACTAGCTATGCTACGATATACGTCTGCTTGAGCCACACCATCGTTTTCAACCCTCAATCCTAAGACCAATCATCGAACCCTTCATGTCAACGGTAGCTCCATCGATACACAAACGCAAAGGACGACCGGAGACCACGCTTCCGCATCACCGACACAACTGCGGGCAGTAGTCCTGGCAAGTACCGCGATACCGTCCATGCCGACCGTCTTCAACAAGATACCTCTTCATCCTGTTGAGGCATTCGTGGTGGCAGTAGGTTGTTCTGCAACGATGGTTCTACGGCAATGTTAGTCACTAAGAGGAGGAGAGGGCGCTGGGGAGTGGGGAGTGGGGAGTGGGGAGTGGTGGGTGTGACCCACTCTGAAGCAATCATCGCGCATCCTCTTACATTTTGTGCAGGGGAGGTCGGACTTGTGGGCGAGATCCTGGGGGTTGTTAGCAAATAAGTATTGGGATGTAAGGGGTGGATGAGGGACTTACGGCGTCGATGTCGTCTGGGTTGGAGTCCTCTTCGTCGATTTCCTCTTCGTCAGTCTCGTCGCGAGACAGCACGGTCTGAGCGACACACTGGGGCGCAGCTCCACCGATGCAGGTCTCGGTGGCTTCGCAGACCTTGGTGTTAACCCACTTGCGGCCATAGCAGCGTTGGATGATGTGCCGCTTGATCGGATCAAGGTAGGCGCACTGCTGAGTGCCTTCAAGACAGACCTGTTGTCTGGATGAAATCTCGTTGGAGGTGACAGCAGAGGCCTTGTCCTTGTCAGCGATCTCACCATCGATGGTCGCGAGGGTACAGTGAGGTGAAGGGTCTGAGTTACAGATGGCCCCGACGTTGCAGATCTCGACGTCAACCCAGTTGTGGTTGATGCAGCGCTTGATGGAGTGGCGGCCGAGAAGGATGATTGGGAGGATAGAGCACTTCTCGTCGCCGTTATGGCAGTCTCCAGCGACGGCAGATCCGGTGAGATCGTCGGAAACGCCAGTGATAACGGCGCCTGAGGCGATCTCGAGGAAGCCCATGAGGGCAAGGAGGAAGATCGCGAGGAGCTTCATGATGATATTGAAGTGTTTGAGGAACTTGACCGCAATCAAGAAAGTAGTGTAAGGGATGCGCAGAGTAGGATGTTGAGGAGAAGAGTTTTGAGAGAGATTGCGATACAACAAGCTACTGACTATAGGTATAAGAAGAATCTGCGGTAAAGTAGGCCGACCAAAGTCGAGGTGAAGGCGACGAAACACGTCAGAGGGTCGCGCGCTTTTGTCTAAAACTTGCTCATGGCTGCTGGCCCGTCTTGAGTCTGTCACTGTGGAAAAGGGTATTGAGAATTGATTAGTAAGGACCGCCCTTGGTGGCTGTGGAATGCCGCCTGATGTTCATCCATTCCGCCCTCGCGCTGACTTTGAACCGTAATACGATGAAGCATTTCTTAAGGTTGCAAGGTCGCTTTCCAGACCAGTGTGCAGACTTTAGGTTCGTCCGACCAGCGTGTCGAGTTGTTTTGAGGCTGTTTCTTGTCGCTTTGGGATAATGGCGTGGTCGTTGTCGCGTGGTCACGTGGTCAAAATGTCGCGTGTCGATCGGCTACACCGCCATTGGCCGCGGCTCGCTTCTCCATCTCATGCTGTCGTTTCTTTGTTCGCACCACACCCGTCGTAATCATGTCACAGAATGGAACCTCCGGGGATTGGGTCCGCGGGTATCCAAAAAGTCGTCACTACCTAGGTAAGGTTAGATGGTTCAAACACATGCAATATCCACGAAAGCGCAAGTGGCCGGTAGTCTGGGACGGGTGTGACCGCGGAACGTACTTGTGGTTCGAGGAGCAACGTCGACGGATTGGCCCCGATATGCCAACGCGCCGGCATCCCCTTGGGCGTTTTGCGGCAATAATACACTCAGCGGAGGACTTGGAGGAAGCAATACTCGATCATAGATGGATTAAGATGGTGTATTTTCGCGCGGTGTTCATGTCACGAAGTTGGTAATCTTTCTCACAGCGTTGCATGCACGTTCCGCTGACCGAAAATCACAGCCGGATGCTAAGGGACATCACCGAAGCTCCACTGGAGTTTCGAAAATACATCCAGATGATATATCTCGGCGATCCCCTGCGCGAAGAGGCCCTAGAGATTACAGACGATGTGGTTGCAGCCATGGTTGAAGCGCTGCCGAATTTGAAGCATGTGCGCATCGATGGTGCCCCAAAAGTTTCCGACCTCACGCTTTCGGCGTTGCTGGAATGCGATGATATACGAACCATCACTCTGACCACCACTCGCGATCGACCAAACATCCTAAGGAGAAAGACGCTTGAGGACGGATCATGGCCACCGAAGCTTGTGTATCTCGAACTCAGTGGCCAGCAACTGCCCGCAAGCATTATTGACTACTTCGAATTTTGGACGAGCGAGAAGAAAGACATGAAAATTGAAAAGAGCCTAGAAATCGTCTACAGTTTTGGAAAGTACTACATCTTCTGGCGTGATGGGTTTCCGCGATGGTGCGAGAATTGGCGGTTCGACGAACGGGGCGCATGGGCTCCCTGGAATGACGCTGCACTGGGGCTTGATACAGACGAAGAGTCCGATGGTATCTGACGAGGGATCTGACGAGGGATCTGACGAGGAATTCGACTAGGAGTCTGATGGGAGATCTGATGAGGGATCTGACAATGTGTCCGACTAAATCGGCAGTGGCATGTAATGCAAGGAAATAACTGAACGAGCGGGCGCAATCTCCATCGATACTAAGTCAAACTCATGAACTCCTCGGCCGCCGATGTAGCTTTCTAAGCCTCTGTCTTTCAATATCGCATGTTGTCAGAGGCAACCGTGAAAGTTTTCGGTGGTTTAATCTGATGGGATAATCAGAGCGTTCAACACATACGTATCCCTGCGTAGCTGAGTTTTGTAGTATCGGACTCGCACTTTGCTTTTCATCGTCATCTCAGCCGGGTGGCGCAGCGCAACGCGTCGCGTCATTAAATGCCCCTGAACTGCGCCTCAAAACCATCGCTTAAGTGGGGCTGTCAGAGCCTAGCTCATCCGGGAGGGACCATGCGCGTGCCAAGTAAAGCTTAAAGAAGCTTGACATCCTGCGAAGGAATGCCGACCACCTCATCCAAAAGGCTGGTTTTGTTGGCGTTCGACATGCTCAGAATTGAATTCGATGGAATTGGAGCGGACGTGTTTGTAGCGACTTCTCGTTGCTGGCCATTGCGGCTGCTTTTTGCCGAATACGGAGAGAGCGGCACCGCCTCACCGCCTCACCGAGATTGCGCCACGTTTCAAAGGTCCGGCCGTTCGCATTTGCTACGCATCGTGGGCCATCTCGAACAGATCTAGCTGCAGATGTAGTGGACCGATTGATGCGTAAGAGGGGCATAAGTAGATCATTGAATAAATACCTCACCCCACCTCCATCCACATTGACAGTCCTCATACAACTTCCACTAACTTCTCACTCTACCCAACAGCCACAGCATACTCATCATGGGTTTCCTCAGCGAATTGATCTCCGACTTCACCAGCTCTGGCAAGCAAGATCAACAGCAACAGCAACAGCAGCAGTCAGGCTATGACCAATACCCACCTCAACAACAGCAACAGGGTTACTCACAGTACCCTCCCCCACAGCACTCTCAGCAACCACCACCAGTCTCATCACCATGGTATGCTGAGTGGGATCAACGCGAGAACCGTTGGGTCTTTGTGAACCAGCAGAACGGCGAGCGAACTTTCCAGTACCCCGGACCCGGCTACGCGCAACAACAGGGCAACTACGGCGCTCCACCACCACAAGGTGGATATGGTTACGGCCAGGATGGGTACAGCAATCAGGGCGCATACCAACAGAGCGCATACGACCCGACTCGCAGTGGTCAGCAGCAAGAAGAGAAGAGCGGCGGTAATGGCTGGAAGTACGCCGCAGCCGGTGTCGCAGGTGTTGCAGGCGGCGCACTGCTAATGCACGAGAGTGACAAGATCGGTACGTATCCCTCCACTCACCCAGCTTACCTACATCATCGCTAACACCCCATCGCAGAAGACGGCTGGGACAGCGCCAAAGCCAACGTATCCAACGGCGTCGACGAATTCGGAAACGACGTCAGCAACTTCCCCGAGAACGCAGCGGGCTGGACCGGCGAGCAAGTCGGACGCGCCGAGAACTTTGGCGACGATGTCGAGCAGAAATGGGATAACGGCGTCCAGGACGTGGAAGACTTCCCCGAAAACGCAGCGGAGTGGACGGGCGAGAAGGTTCAGGCTGTGGAAGATATACCGCAGGATATCGAGAACAGGTGGGATAATATGACGGAGGGTGTGGAGCAGTTTGGTGATAATATGGAGAATGCGTATGATGAGGGGAGGGACGAGCAGAGGTATGATGATGAATACTGAGATGGATGAAGTATGGAAGGGATGATAGGAAAAGAATGCAAAGCTAATCAATAAGAGGTCCAATGTTGATCAACAAATTGGACCGTGTTCGTTGCAATGCACATTGTTGTAAGGTCAACCCCAAGGCAGAATTCTCCAATCCGACACGTAGACTGTGCGAAATAGCAGCGATTGAAGAGCCGAGTACGAGAGCAAAGAAAAGAACAGAATCAATCCTCTGTTGTCGAGGTAACTGTATGTGGCGTTGGTAGCGAACTCGGGTCCAGGCTCCATTGGCAAAGACGCAACGTCGCAACTTGTGCCCGGCGTAGTCGCTGTGACGACGTCAGGATCTGCCCAGACTCCGCTCTAATACACTACAGCACCAAGTGTATCCGCGCGAATGATATCTGCGCATTCTTCCTTCATAGCATGCGCTACGTGTGCTTGGCGGTCGAGGTGAGGTTGCACTTAAGTCGGACGCGGGATGCCTGACGGAGGCGCAGTCGTGCGATTAAGCGTGTCTTACTCGGGTCCCGTTCCAGCATGCGCGTGGAAGAATATGGTGAAATGCTACCCCGCCCGGCTTCATCGTGGTTGTATATAGTAGTCGTGGGCTGCAAGCCTTGTGCTTCATATCGCACTCGTCTTTCCATCTCGCCCTCTACCTTTTCCAGGATAACCATCATATCTCCATCCTAACGCTACTGCATACGACACAGCCATGAGTTCATCAATCTTGTCCAAGGCCTTGCAAGCCACATCCCTTCTGGCGTCGACAACCCTAGTCGCTCTCTCGATCGCAACGGTCGCTCTCGTCACCCACTACAGCGAGTCGATGAACGCGAGCTATCCAGAAGGCAGTTACACATATTACGGACCCGTCGGCTCACCTGCACGCAGGGCGTATTGGGAGGAGTACGACGCCGGAAACAGGGACTTCAACAAAGTATACATGCAATATGTGACGAGCAACGACATCTGGGTCTTGGTGAGCGGTTGTGTTGGATTGGTTGCCGGAGTCGTGGGATGGCTGACAGTGGCGTTCATGATGATGAAGGAGAAGGTATGCCTAATTACCTCTAACCTCTAGAAGCTCTGCTAACAACTCTTCCAGAACCCCAAGACCGCAGGCTCACGCTTCCCATGGGTACTAGCCTGCTCAATCTTCTTCGGCCTCGCCGCCTTTGCCATGTCACTCACCTCCACGATCATAACCTTCGAGACCAAGAAACGTCTGGAACGCGAGGCATGCGTACCAAGTGCTGCATACTCATACTACAACCCGTATTTCGACTGCACGCGCGAACTAGCTGCTTGCAGTATATTCGAGATGCTTTCCAGGGGGTATGATGATCACAGCCAACAGATTTGCAGTGAAGCGCAGGCGAGCAGGAGGATGTTGATTCCCACCTTGGTTTGCGCGGTGGTGCTTGTTAGCACGTGGATTGCGCAGGCCGTTGTGAGCAAGAAGGGAGCTGATGCTGAGGCCGACAGAAGGGTACAGGACTTGCAGGCGCAGGAACAGACAGAGTAAGCGGCTGGAAATAGTGTATGAGCGTATGGGAAATGGTATCAGGGAAAAGGTGCAAGGTGCTGCGCATTTGAGAGCCATCCGTGGCCTGCTGACTGCAAACGAGGGTTGGACGTGCGTGACGGCTAGTATATAGACTATGACGAGATCGTGACAATGAATCGTTTAAGCGTCTCCAAACACGATCCAAAGAGCCAACAATATATAGCCTGATAATGACGTTTGACCTTTGTGGTTTCGTAATAGTCTAAGCTCCTCGATGACCTTTTTCCACGCTGATGTGTGTCGTGCACAATATGTGATGGCTGTCGTTACTCTTTCTTGATCGAACATCTTCCAGGATCGCCTTGTCGCTCTCGTGGTCCCCTGGAATCGTAGTCATGGAGGGCCGTCTCGCGCTTCGGCCCGCCATGCCTTCGGTTATAGCTCTGGGGTCGAGATGCCTATGGTACGTTGGTAGATGAAAGCTCTGGAATCTAGTTGAAGCCGATTTGTCATTCGATGACTTGGGGAGAACGTGAATGAGAAGGCTGTCGAAAGATTTGCGCAGCGGCGGTAGGTTGGCAACCACGATGCCCACGGAAACTTCCGTCATCGACCAAATAGAAAGTGTAACCGACTCGTAGTAAGCCTCTTTCATACCCTGAAGCCGCTGGAAATCCCAAAGCTTCATGACGGATATGGCTGTACACCTGTTGCTCGTTAGTCTTTGCTCTTGGCTATCATGGAGTCGAGGGAATTACACTAAAGACATAAGAAAGACAGCCCGCACACTCCACTGCGTACGGTTACTGAGCCGGACAGACCGGAGATATGCGATCGGTGCTGTCGCATACACCAAGTCCGTGATGATGTTGGAAATGGCTTGGGTATATGCAATACCTATCCGCACTACCGGCGACCAGCACTCTTTGTCGGTAATACGTATGTCCCATCTCGACGCGAGAGGACGACAAAGACCAAAGTGCTGTATCACGGGTAGTAGGAAATTGAAGATAGTGACGAAAACGATCGTCGCCTGTCGGAGCCGATTGATGTCAGCGCTTGGGTCATGTCAAATATAGTCGTAGTGCACTCACCCATATGACCCAACGGTATCCCTTTGAGAAATTGAGTGCCAGGAGGTATGTGCAAATGGAAAGCTTCACAATCCACATAGCATAAACATTGAGGAGCTGGCTCGCAAAGACGAGACGGTTCTGGTAGACCATCTTCTCCAGTGTATTCGGCTGCCAAAACGGATCGCTCAAAAGACGGCCCGCACCGTGAAAGGCGGAAACGATGGAAACGGCCATAGCGGAGTTGTTCATCGCCTGTACGAGTTGGTTAGCTACGCATGAACTTCGACCTAGGCTTTTTGCTCACTTACTGCTCCGAGAATCATCAACCAGTCGCTCGCTCGCATCCACGGAGATGCTTTGAACCTGATCGTTATTCGCCAACCAGCGAAAACGGTGCTAAACATAACCATGCAGATCGAGACAACAATGAGTTCGAGGTGCGTCGTAGGTAGGTTCTCGGCGCCTTCCATCTTGGTGGCCTATCTGGCACCCGATGCACAGCAGTGAGATCGAAGAATGGAAGATGAAAGCCAACTTCATCCACATGACGAAACAAGAGAATCATTGTCAAGAGTTCAAGATTACGGACATGTGTCTTTCTCTGCCTAGAAGCATGCATGCCCCAACTGTTCTTCCTGTGTAAACCTTGTCAGCGATTTATCCGTCGCATGCTGAGTACTGGTTCATTGAGGCACAGTACCTCTTGACATGATAGCAGTAATCTCTATCACACGTAAGCCTTCGCCCCGGCCAATTTGTTCGCCTTTTCTTGGCGCGTATGGTGTTTGTCGACTGTTTCTCAGTGGCCACAGGACATTTGCCGGGCCAGGCACTCCAGGGGAGCAGACATCTCGGATATTTTTACCGTTACTTGTGGGTAGGCCATGTCGATACCAAGACACGCATAGCCCGCATATGCATGGCAGGTACCGATGTCAATCGCTGTGTTGGCACCTGCGTGAGTCCGAGGACATGTGCGTTGGGAAAAGAGTTCGATTTCTACATTACACCCGGCGGCTGATGATTGCGTTCTTCTCTTAACTTTCGCTATACGACTGCTAGAGGTGGCATCGATGGAGCTGCATCAAGGCAAGGAAGACATCTGCCGGAAGATAGTGTTTTGGGTGAGGCGCATGCGACCTCGGAAGGCTGGTTCTCGCGGAGGAAGACGCGCCGCCGCCGCCGCTTGGCGCCCCACACGTTAACTCTTCGTGATTTGCTCGGCAGGCGCCAAAGTGGGGTTCCTCTGGAAACACGCATCGGAGGGATGCACGATCAGCATTACAACATCAAATGGAGGTCGACACCGAGATGAATACCATGCGAATGCATTTGTTGATACTGGAAACTTGTCGGTCCAGAACGACTCGGATGCAACACACCGCTTGTCACGTGCAGACCGGGTTCAATGATGTTGAGAGCTCTAACCGTCACCCTGGCTAAATCATGGTACTGCTGAGCATTTAATTGTCTCGATGCCCCGGTAAGAGTTGATTCAGTATCGACTCCACCGTCGCTGAGCCTGACGAATCACGACGATGCCGTTGCTCAAGTTCAGCTCGCTCGTCGGTCTCATCGGCTTTCTTTCAACAGCCGCAGCGGCGGTAGTGAGCGCTCGGCAGACATCCTCGGAGCCAGGAACTTACGATTACATTGTAGTGGGCGGGGGGCTGAGCGGGCTCGTTGTTGCCAATCGCTTGACTGAAGATGCAGGTGGTAAGCACCACGCGCCTCTCAGCAGGATGATTCACCTGACTAACAGCGTCAAGTCTCTGTTCTGATCATTGAGAATGGCGTCATCGACAACAGACCCACGACAAGCGTGCCTTACTTTGCCAACATCAACGCTGAGAACTATTACCCCATTACGTCTGCGCCAGAGCCTTTCATGCAGAACAAGACCTGGATGGTGCATGTAGGTAATGTTGTTGGCGGTGGCTCAGTGGTCAACGGAATGCAATGGGATAGAGGTTCCGATGCAGACTACGATGCATGGGAGCAGCTGGGAAATCCGGGATGGGGCTATGAAGGCCTCGCGAAGTACTTCAAGAAGTCTACTCATTTTGATGGCCCCTCGGAAGCAGTTCGCCAGCACTTCAACATGACATTTGATGCCAATGCGTGTGTGCTCATACCGATTTCGGCTGGGTGATAGCTAACCTGTACATAGATATGGTGACGGTCCAGTCAAAGTATCGATACCGAACTACCAGTACGAGGATTACGTCGACATCATGGCCTCTTTTGTATCCCGGACCGACATACCGCACTCACCGGAGGGTCTCATTAGACCGATTGGCACGTTCTGGACGCCAAACTCCATCGATAATTCCACCAAGCAGCGAAGCCATGCTCGCAGAGCCTACTACGACCCAGTTCAATCACGAAGCAACTTGCATCTTATGACCAATACACACGTGGACGAGATCCTATTCAAAAACGGTACTACGCTCGCGGCAAGTGGTGTCAAGTATACATCGAACACCGGATCCTTAACCGCATCTGTCTTCGCAAAGAAAGAAGTCATACTTGCAGCCGGGAGCGTCTTTACACCGCATCTGCTCATGCTGTCAGGCATCGGTCCAAAGGATGACCTATCCGCTGCTGGGATCGCCGTGAAGAAAGACCTTCCGGCAGTTGGTTCGAACTTCCAGGATCACCAAGCCTTGTACATGCAATTCAACCTCTCCAATCAGTCCATCCCTAATCCCGACATGCTCGTCACAAAACCCGACCCAGTCTTCAACGCCACAGCTGCCGATCTGTACGAGGCTAACCGTACGGGCCCATGGACCTTTGGACGAGGCAATGCCGTACTCTTTCTTGCATTCAAGGATTTCTCGGACAAGTACGCCAACATAACCGCCCTCATCTCTGAGCAAAATGCCACTACCTACCTACCACAACGCTATTCAAAGATCGATGCCCTGCTGAAGGGCTTTATTGCACAGCGCAAGATTCTCATCGAGCACTACCTTTCCGACGACGCGGCCACGGGTGAATACCCGATCCAACCCTGGGGTCGGGCAGCTACTGCAGTACAGAAACCTCTCTCGCGCGGTATGTTGACCCTCAACACCACGCATCCACTAGCAAATCCGATCGTCGTCCGGAACGCATTCCAGAACCCAGTCGATAAATTAGTGCTTGGTGAGCTCGTGCGCTGGAACAGGAAGCATTGGACGACCGCACCCCTGTTGAAGCGCTATGCACCCGTCGAAGCCGTGCCGGGCGCGCGGTTCGAGACCGACGATGAGATCTTTGACGCGAGCATCAAGGCGGCTGCTTTGAATCCGACGTATGCGCATTCGAGCGGCGCATGTGCGCTGATGCCAGAAGAGTTGGGTGGATGTGTGGACCCGCAATTGAGAGTCTATGGCGTGGAAGGATTGAGGGTGGTGGACGCGTCGATCCTGCCGTTGATACCGGCGGCGCACCTACAGGCAACGATGTATGCTGTTGCGGAGAAGGCTGCGGACATTATCAAAGGAGTTTGATCAAGATGTTTCTATGAGAAGTATGATGTTGCGATGCTTGCCGAGGAACAGGGACGGTGCGCGCATCTCGTGGTGCTCGGGACTGGCCGCTGGACGCCTGGCCGCTGGCGGGAGATGGAAGCCTGGAGCGCGCCACAGCCGCACTCATCTGCATGCGTCGCCTCGACACTGATTCTCCTATCAATCCATAATCGAAGACATCCCTCAATTGTTCCGTGCCTTTTCTGAAGTGCCCGTACCCATCCCATGGGGCTGTCCTCAAGCACCATCGGCCCACCGGTTGATCCCCTGCACGTGTTTACAGGGCAAGGTGATGAACACTAGCATTCCTTTGAACAAAGTACTGATTCGTGTCATCAGGCCAGGTGCTGGGCCTGTTATTGGACGAACTGTATACCCATTCAGAAAACTTCTTGAACGGGCTGCGCAAACTTTTTGAAGCAAAATCAACATGCGATTACGAAGGCGGGCCTCCATGTAAGGTAGTCCGCTCACAACAGGGTCGCTTGCTCACTAAAGCAGATTGGACGGTTGATACCTTCGTTCGCTACCTGGTCCAACGGAATCCCGATGTGCCCCACGAAATCAAGAGGGCCGGACCACTGCTTTACCGGATATTGGTACATTACGGATCATTCCCGTTCCCCGTCGATGAAGACAAACGTATGACAAGCGGCACCTTCCTTCGCGGCATTTATATGCTGTCTAAAAACAATCATCGCGTTCTCTCGCACGAAGTTTCCAGGTGGCAGGGCGGTGAGCCAGTCACCAGAGAAAGAGGCCCAGTAGATGACGTGCGAATATTGTTTCGGAGCATGGCTACTGGTAACTCGCGCACATTCCGAAATCCTGGTCTCCGTTCGGAGGATGACGACGAGGACCTCATCGATGTTCTGTTCAGGCTGGGTGAGAAAATTCGCCAGCGGCGGCCTCCCAAATACGGCTTCATGCGTAAAGACGTTGTGCCAGCTGCCTCTCGACTTCCCAGTTCGTACTCGAGAAACTTGGAAGGGTCTGTGTCAGTACACGACTTGGAGAACTTGTTCGATCTCATTGTTTCCTTGTTCAACAGACTGTTCGGGACTGCTGGACGGCCGCTAAACCAGGCCGTCGTTGGATGCATCATCAAGGGCTTTAGACGAAGTTCGGGAGATATGGCGTCCGTCGATTGGCCGGCGTTTCGAGACACTGTTCTGTCCTCAGTCGTAAGGCAATTCCTACCATCCCGAATTTGTACAAGCGCTCACCAAATCCTAGCCCAATTTGCTTTCGGTACTAGAGGCATTCATCGAGCAGAGCTTCCGCATCAGCCATGGTTTTTGGCACGGGCTGCCATACTCACTGGCCATGACAGTAGGTGGACCTAGCCTGCAAGTGGATACACAAGAGAAACTGATCCACGATAGGGTGTCTACAACGAGGTTGCGACAACCAAAATTATCGCTGTAGAGCAGCTCGCGCAACTGTTCCTAATCATGTCTGACGAACATAGCCTGGCGCCAAACATTCAAGCCATTGATGTGCAATTGCAACCTGGCAGCACTGATTTCCAGGCCGACATGCGGCTCATCACCAAAATCGCAACGATCTTACGAGCGCCGGATCACCTACTAATCGTGCAAGCCAAGGAAGATATATCGGAAGCTGCGCATCAATCGACCACGATTTGCGTGTACACAGGCGCGCTTGGAGAACGTCAAATTAACAACTTGGATCCTCCTTGGGTTCGGTTCATTAGACCTAGGGAGAAGTACTCGATTTTTGGAGTTTCCCCTGTACATCGTGTCTTCCAGAAGGGAACGAATGATCCAGAAGATACGTTAGAGATACTGGCGGAGCAGGATGGCGTGAAGATTACCGCTGGAGCCCTGAGTCTTGCTTTCAGCGATGCACTGCGTGGTGTAGAGATCAATGCAGGCTCGATGGTTTTCGAAGGCAAAGTCGTCGCACTTGAGATCTGGAAGGTGGGATATGAAGAATGACCTTAGAAAACACCTTGAAGACGTACGGTAGCAAATGGACATAGGAAGAACAAGCCTCTTCGCGTCGCTGAAAGCTTTCCGAGCGGGGCAGGGCACTAACCGTATGTGGCGTAGCCCAATGCAAACTTAGAGTGAAAATGTTTCCGACCCTCTGGTTTCCCCCGCACCACCAATCCGCTACGAGCAAAATGACGTGCTCCGTGGCAAGCTGTGCGAAATGCGCCAGAAGTGTAATGATCGCTGACTCGCCTGCGAATTATGGGTATCGCGCTCGTGCTCAGTCGAGAAGTACCTAAGCTTCGCCATGAAAAGCTTCCATGCGCCAGCTCTGAGCTTCAGCACTTACATCGCATCGCATCACCGCGGTAGGCCTCGCTCCAAACATGACGACCACCGACCCTGAGAAAGATCCTCATGATGTCGCGGCGGCATCGCCTGAATCCCTGGACCGGATACCTTCCCACCTCGTCAATGAAGACCGCCTCCGACGATCTCTCAGTGCCAGGCAGGTGCAAATGATAGCCATCGGAGGCACGATCGGAACTGGACTCTTTCTCGGAACTGGCAAAGCTCTCGCAACTGGCGGACCAGCTTCGCTACTCATCTGCTACTCGATCGTCGGCTTCATCGTCTTCTGCACTATGCTATCTCTTGGCGAAATGGCTGCCTTCGTCCCCGTCGCAGGCTCCTTCTGCACATTCGCCGGTCGCTATGTGGACGATGCATTTGGTTTTGCCTTGACATGGAATTACTGGTTCAACGATGCTGTCAGCACGGCGGCCGATCTTGTCGCTTTGCAGTTGCTGATACAATACTGGAGCGATAGCGTCCCATGGTATGCAGTTGGCATAGCCGTATGGGTGCTGATCGTCTTGGCGAACATCATCAACGTTAAGGCCTACGGCGAGCTGGAGTACTGGCTGAGTCTTTTGAAGGTGGTGACCATCGTCATCTTCATTATCCTGAGCATCGCAGTCAATGCTGGTGCCAATACCGACCATGGATATATTGGAGGCAAATTCTGGACCGCTGGAGATGCGCCGTTTGTCGGTGGCATTGGAGGCTTTGCATCCGTTTTCGTGACTGCATCGTTCGCCTACGGTGGAACTGAGTCCATCGCAATTACAGCCGGAGAGACGCGCGATCCAGCACGCGTGCTTCCAAAGGTCGTGAAGAACGTCTTTTGGCGCATCTTGCTCTTTTACATCCTCACGGCTATCATGATTGGATTCAACATACCGTACGATTATCCCGGTCTCTCGACGAAGTCATCGCGTACATCGCCTTTCACCATCGCATTCCAAATGGCCGGTTCGAAAGCGGCTGGATCGTTCGTCAACGCAGTGGTCCTCACCAGTGTCATATCGGCAGGCAACCATGCCCTCTACGCCGGCTCGCGCTTGCTCTACACACTCGGAGCGAACGGACATGCGCCCAAAGTCTTCACGAAGTTGACGCGATACCAAGTTCCGTGGATCGCAGTGTTGACGACTAGCTTGGTGTCCATTGTCCTATTCTCCCTTTCTTTTGTCGGATCGGGTCAGCTATGGACATGGCTGCAGAACATCGTGGGCGTCTCGAACCAACTGAGTTGGATATGCATCGGCATCTCTTCGCTGCGTTTCCGCGCAGGTCTCAAAGCCCAAGGAAAAGAACACCTGCTACCCTTCCGAAACTGGATGTACCCTTGGGGCCCTTACATCTGCGTCTTCCTAAACATCTTTATTGTGCTAGTGCAGGGATGGTCGTCATTCAGCCCCAAGTTTGCCGCCGTGGATTTCGTTAGCTTCTACCTGGAACTTCCTATCTTCCTATTGATGATTGTCGGCTGGAAACTTCTGAAGAAGACCAAGTTTAGGAAAGCGAGCGAAATGGATCTTGAGACCGATGTCTATACCAAAGAAGATATGGAGCCGGTTGATAAGGGATGGAAAGGAAGGAGCAAGAGAATTGGCACCTGGTTTTGCTTTTGAGGACCCATCTTGCGCGCCAGTATTATACCGGACCTGGCGTTTTGGCTATGCTATACATACATACGAAGAAGATTCCCGTTTGCCCAAATTCCCCAGGATGCATCCAGAGGCGTTCTCTGTATCTCGTGTTCATGCGCTAACAAGACGAGTCCCAGCAAATGTATTTTGACTGTGTCTGTCTAACCTACAAACGGACGCACCGCTACGCTACGTCCAGGTGTAGTACCAACTCGATATAATTGGGGAAGCGTGCGAGTAAGGTTCCATGTGTCGTCGAAGGCTTCTTGCAGTGTACGCCTCGGCTGGCGCGTAGCCAGCAGACTGAAAAATATTCCAGCATCCACAGCAATTTGGGGCCGAAGGATGAGCTTAGGGACACGGGCTTTACCTGCATCAGCTCGACATTGAGACGTCCAAGTGTCGCAAGGCATCGCTGCGCAATTTCACTGAGGGATAACTGCCGGCAGCCCTATACCGACCGGCAAGTTTTGCCCGCGCATTGAGATCTCTATTGCAACGAATTCCAGATCGCTGCATGCAGGATCCGGGTTTAGGAGGCTCCCAGCCCAGCCACGACGGAACGCCTGCTTGGCGGGCGCCAATCATGCCACGATTGGACTAAGTCGCACTTTATCCGCCTCTCAAACCCCCGGCCCAACGCTGCCCGTGCTCGAAGGCTACGCCCCGCATATCCCCTAAACCTCAATTGTGTTCCTGTGCCTCATGCACCCACTCACAGCCGTCGAACATGACCAGGATGTCGTGATAGTCGGTCGTACTTAAAATGACACGATGGTTGGGGTCCAAAAGACAAAACCCACTTTGCGACGAGGTCGCGGACCTTGAGAGCGTCTCTATCGCTCTTTTTCCACCGACTTGAGCAGTGCACGTGCTGGGTGCTCTGTGCCATACGACCCTCGCTATCTATCGCCATGTTTTCTTTCCTCTTGCGAATGGTCTCTATCAATATCGCTGCTGCGGCACTGATACATGCCCCAATGCCTGCACCCACAGCTCCTGCAATGCTCCCAAGGCAAGGTCCTGCAAATGGCATCGTGGTTATGGGATACGAGCTTATCGGCACGCAAGACGATAAGCCAGTCTGTAAGTACACTGGCATGCGCGCTCGATCTTGAGATGCGCTTATCTGACCTGGCAATAGGGTCGATCAAGACTTTCCCTCAGTCCGACGGCTACCTTTTTACAACAGGCAGCCTGTATCAATCGTGCAAAGTGTCGTCCGCTTTCGAGGTTGATGGAATCACCACGACCTCCCCTTTACCGAAGACAGGTTGTGAGGCATGGACAAGCTGCTCACATACAACGGTGTATGGGTCTGGAGGCGTAACTAGTACCTGGTAAGTTGAGCTGCATGTCTTGCGCGTAGACTCGACCATGTTAACCAGCTGAACAGCGATGGAGATTATGGGCTTTGCTACTCGGACATCATGTTCACCACTTTTGGCGCATCCGACGGGTACACGCGTATCTACTGCGATTGGACAGGCAGCCATCCGTTGATGTCGACGACGCTTTACCAAGCGCTTCCGGCCAATGGTACGTGACAGTGCGCAAATGCTATATTTGACTTATTACTAATGTGTTGTAGTGGACTCAACGTCAGTCGCGTCCCAACAGGCAGCCTCCAGTATACCTGCATCGAATAGCAACCCGTCCCCAACATCGAGCCCGGCCGGCGAGCAGGATCAACCCCCTGGCGGTAGCAGTCGTTTGAACAACACATCCGTGATCGCTGGAAGCGTCGTCGGCGGGCTTGCGGTCATCGCATTCGCCGGTGTCGCCATCTTATACATCCTCAAGCGCTCCAAGCGCCACTCCGCGGGTACTCCTGTCCCATCGAGCGACGGTGATTCTATGAATCCGTATGGTACGCCGGAGATGACCAGGAACGGATATCCTGATGCGCAAGCGTATACGCACACGGCGACAAAATACGGACACACCATAAATGGAGGCGAACTTGATGGGCAGCATGGCACCGCCGAATTGGGTGGCGTCTTGGTCCACGAAGTAGAGGGCCGTCGATGAGAAGTGAAAGCAGGAGGAAGCGCAGAAAAGGCCACAAAAGTGGCCAAGGGGGCAGCGGTGTAGTATTGAATGCAACTGCCTCGGCAGTAATGCATCGTCTGGTCGGCTTACGCACCGCTGCTGGTTCTCGACCCAAGACCTTACGAGTAAGACGTGCGGCCAATATCTCGAGACGAAGTCGCCCCATGGAGATGAATGACAGCGCATCCACCGATCCCACGAAGCATGCAACCCTTACTTTGAGTCTATGTTCGACAGTCAGCAAGGCAGCGTCTGCGCACTGCGACTGATACTGGCCCTACTGACCCCGAGTCAGCGCCCCGAAGTGGCAGTGCTGCTGCGCTTATTTAGGCCTCCCTCGATCTGGTCCCCGCAAATCAAAGCGGTGCTGACATGATCCGGCAATTTAGCCGCTCCATAGGCCAGCCTGCTCACCACATCAACACCGACAAATGTAGATGCTGCGCATACAGCTGACATGAATCAGATTCTGTCCAGTTGCTGTGGTTCTTTTCGTACATGCGCTACACGATAGGGGGCTGTAGTCCTTCATTTCCTGCAATGGTATCTATCGACGTATATCTCACAGTATGATAGGGTACAGCCACGGACGTACGTCTCTACCGAGGTTTGACCGAACGCAGGTCTTTGAGACTGTGGGTAGTCGGTGATACTAGCAAGCAATACGAAGTAATTCTAGGGACTTCATCTCTTCGAGACTGTGGACATCCTCTCATACTTGGACTTTGCTTTCTCTTCTTCATCGCGAACGCCCGTTTTGGCCTCCTTCGACATTCACATCGCCAACACCAAGATGCCTTGTTCCAGCCTATCTCACCGCATACTCTTCATAAGCTCCGTCCTACTCTTGGTCGCATCTATTGGCACCCTCGGTCTCACTGGTCACGCGAAATGGCTTTTGGTTCAATACTTCCCCGCTGACGCTTGGTACATCTGGAGAGGAACAGATGGAACATATGACGAGCAGCAGACGATTCAGCAGTGGATAGCTGTGGACTACAACGAGACATATGACAGACTAGCCGTTGCGAGAGCGGTGTTGGGCGTTGTGGCAAGTGTACTGAGTATCTGGATCATGCGAGCGAAGCCCAGAGCTATAATGGAAGAAGATACACAGGTACTATTCTTCGTGATGGCTGTATCTTGATCAGGGCTTACAGCGCATCCAGAACTCGCAACATCCCTTCCGAGGCAATACTGTGTACATCACAACTGTGGTTCTCACAGTCGTATCCTTCGCCAGCACACTTGCATCCGCAATATGGTCCACGATCTTACACTACCAGTCACACAAGCGTTGTCAAATACCGAGTGTGTTGACGAAATACAACAACGAATTCACATGCACGCGTGAGCTAGCGACCTGCGTTATGCTACCTGTCATACGGAAAACGGATGATAGGGCAAGGAGGCTGGCGTGTGTGGAGACGGTAAGACTAAATCAAGAAAACAGATTGGAAGAACGGATGCTGACTGTCGTGACGTATAGAAAACTGTTCGGTGGCTGCTAGTCCCCATGCTCGTATTGGGTTTGGCATTAGTCGTGGGATATGGTGTGCAGATCTGGTATCTGAGGAGACGAGCGGCTCTCGAGCGGAGAGCGGAGGATAAGGTTGCTGTGCTGGAAAAGGCAGACTAGCTATCCGGAATGCGATGCTGCTGGCAGGCTCATGCCGCTTCCAGGCAGCGCTTGCAGCAAACATTGTTTGAAGCATAAGTTCTGCCGTGTACCGCACAACTAACCCTTCACATCGAACGACCATCTTCATCATGGATCTCACCCAACTTCTCAATGAAATCTTCGACATTACCTTTGGGATGCTGTCCATCGAGGATCTTTTGCGTTGCGAACGCGTCAAAAAGCGTTGGTGCGAACTGATTAGGGACGGGCTAGAGACCTCTAACGCCCTATTCCGGTACCAAATGTATATGAAGGAGCAAAGCAGTCCAAGTGGAAGGCGACTCTTCCTAGAAAGGACTTGGAAGACTCATCGTGCCAACCGTTCCACCGAACCGGAGGTACTCACCGACTGTATCGCACACCCTCTCCTGAGTCGCTTCATCGATCCTCGCTTCATCGATCTACCAAGGCTTGGCTCGATCATCTCTTTCGATAACCCTAAACTCCCCTACATCAGCTGCTGGCACCTCCTTCGTACCCTCAACAGACGGAATGGATTGCCCAATCCAGACGCATCTTGGCGACGAATGTTCATAACGTGGCCTCCACTCAAGGAGATCGAATTACACGTCAGCTATAGGCTTCACGATGATCAGCCGAACAAGGAAAAACCCAAAGTCATCAAGATCTCTGAGCCTGAAGGTATCACGCTGAACCACTTCTTCTATGCCCTTTCTGGTTCTGCAATACTGAAATGGGGGCGTACTGCAAGTTCGATAATGGAATGGAACAAGGCAATCACCGAAAGTTGGTTCACGAAAAAGTACAGGGGTATGCGTATCAGGGTCGTTCCAATAATCCGTGCGAAAGAGAACGAGCGAGAGACTGCTGCGAAAGAGGCATGATTGCTGTGGATGATAGAAGCTTTTAGGACTTATCACTTGTCATTCCGCAGGTACTATCATAACGTGTACAGAGTTTGCATTACAATTATTGAGTGAAATGAGATCAACGGTACAATTATGCCATCTGCCCCCTAACTGCACCAGGTAGCGCCAAGCTCGAATGCGTGTCTGCCATGAAAGCCGCCGGGTTGGCTTCAATCATGCTGACATGGAAGCCCTCGCCCGAATCCTTTCCTTCAACCATAACACCAGTCGTAAATGGGCCCTTGATACAGCCTGCGCTGTTCCTAACCGTCTCACTTCCCTCTACCAGCTCCGGGTTCGGGAACGAGATTCTGGGTGGTCCACTAGCACCGCGCGCGGCCTCGTGGATGTGCGTCGCTGTAGTCGCGGGGGAGTCGAATTCGCCTTGGAAGTTGTGCAGCGTGATGTTGTAACAGATCATGTTGGAAGCGCTGTTGATGCCGAAGTTGAACGTGCCGGATGCGCCGGCGAGACCACCGGTTGGCTCGGTGCCGTTGACGACTTCTTCCGGAACGGCGTGAACGAAGTGTGTGGACGAGAAAGCGAACAGCTGCTGAGCATCGATAGCGTTGGCCGCGACAGCGTCTTTACCGGTCAGGTCGATGTTGATATGCAGCTGCATGTGACCGTTGCCGATGTCGAGAGGCGATGCTGCGACTGGTGCGGCAGTCGCGCCCAGCGCCAGGCTTGCAATGGTGATGAACGCGGCGGTATACATTATGGTATAATGAGATGGATAAAAAGCGTGTACGGTAAAAAGATGTGCGGTAAATGTCTTGTCAAAAGAACGTGTAGAAGAGAATTGGAAGAAGCGAAAGGATGAATGAGTGTGTTGGAGAAAGGACTGGTCAACAGCGAATTATTCCTACCGAGCCTCACATAGCGCCCCTTCCATCTGGTTATATACTCACTAAATGTGGTGATACAGCGTACGTGGATGCCTTAGCACCAAGGCTTGGTGTTGGCTGGAAGTTGTTGTCCCGTAATTTGCGGCACCTTTGTAACGCGTGCTGAGTTTCGCGCACCTTGGCCAACACCAACAGCCGACTCGGCGCCTTGGAAGCATCAGGCCTCAACGCATGCTGTAAACACTCAGCTCAAATGAACGATCGAGTTACGAAGTGTACATCCCGAATTAGCATGAGCATGGGTGCAAAAGTTGATGAGCCCAAGGTACGCATCGCTAATTTGTCGCGGGTTCTCGTTCGCCAAGTACGCAAAACATACGATGCGGATGTCTTGGGCGGAATCGAGGCGCATCCTGATTGTATTGGATGTCTCTTCTCGTGGTAATCTTCTCGCCATTAGCTGCCCGTGATCTTGTGTTACTCGGATTCCATGCCGGCCGGGAGGAAGGGCACGCTTGAAAGGCCGTTCGACCAAGATATCATCTGCACGGCTTCGTGAACAGCAGGTCAAGAATCGGTCGGCTATCGCAACGCTACCGATAGGAGCAAGACGTCTGACATGCCGTTTCCTGTCAAGCTATTAACGCTCTTTCAAGGGCTGCCCAGATGAGATTGACTCTTCGAGACACGGGCGCGTGCTGTCGAAGACGAGAGGCATAGAGCAAAGGGCGATGCTGCAGCAGCCTGGAAGCCAGGCAGCGGTCTAGCGCTCATTAAAAGGCTTTGTTGACATACATTTCGAAGACGGTGGTCTGACTGTGAGTACTGATGACGATTGAAGTGTGTACGGACTGGGAGCAGTCATGACGCAACGGGTGGTCATAGCTTCTGCTCAGGTGAGATTGGCCCGAGCCACTGAGGAGGAGATCTTTGATCGTCTCATCACATTGCATTGCTCGCGCATCGCGAATACACACCCTCAGCATCTGAGCATCGTTCCAAGTACAGAGGCTCCGGCTTCTTCGATGACAGGTCTTGCCGACGTGATTGTACGCCCGCGAAGGGGTTCGGTGCAATGACGGCCGGTTTCAGCCACTACCCGACTCCTGTGTCATGATCCTCTTGGATTGGAACTTCTCTACTTCTAGCCACATTCAGCTATTAATCTGTGTCCTTCACGATACTTCACTACATTGCACAACAACCTTCCCCCGCGGAGAGATTACGCAAAGATAAGAGACGGAAGGGATGTGGCACGTTTCGACGCGAAGGTCAACGGGAACTTTGCTTTGCGCTTCATTAAGTCTTGATGATATTCATTACGTATGTATTAATACACTATATGAAGTGAAGTAGGTATTGGTATCATATAGCAGTCATCCTCTCACACCCAACTAAATTCCAGCACCAGCACCCGGGAACTTGGCAAGCAAAGACTTGTCGTACTTGGCAAGATCAGGGCAGCCAAGCTTCGCAAGGATAGGATTCAGGGCATCAGTCAACTTCTGCACAGCAAGCAGAACATTGCCGAGGAGACCTTTCAAGATATCCGGACTAGCAGAGTTGACAGCCTGGAATGCG